TGTTGTCGACGTCCTTGACAGTTATATTTTTTCTATTCTCTTTCTTTTATTGAGATAACAACCAATAGTTTATTTTGTCTGTCTCTTTTTTAATATTTGCTGTGTTGTTCTTCTAAGGATTAAAGAGTAAATAGGTACTTTGAAATGTATGTTACACAAACATATATGAAAGAAAAAGAAAAGCTAAAAATTACCTCTACTATATTTTAATGTTTGAAAAAATTTAAAATCTATTTAACCAAGTTGACAATTAACATACATCGAATAATAAAAAATGAAAATATTGTACATATGTTTTATCTTATCTCACTTTTCATGATGCTTTTATATAACAAGATAAAGAATTATCAGGATTGTACATGAAAGTCAAAGACGAAAAGTCAATTTTTATACTTTATTGTCACAGTTTCTATTTTTAATAATTATTTTAAATGATGTTTGAATGTAGATAAATAAAACAGACTTTTGCAGAACAATGAAATATTAATGTATTACAGTTCTTTTAAAATCAATTTAAATGTTTTTCAATAAATCATCTGAGTTATACAAATTTTGAATTAATCACATAGTAACTCATAAAAAAACACGTGAACAATCAAAAAAAAGGTAAATATACGTGTGTATTAGAATTTTGTTTTGGTAAAAATTACAAATAATAAATTTAAAGCAATCTTGAAAAGAACGAAGGATACAAATGTTTAAGTCAGGATTCGACGACTCGAGTCAACATTTATTTATTATTTTTCGTATTTATATAGAATTCCATTCAAAAGTTTCCATTGTGATAATCTCGCTTTGTTCGTAGGCTATATACAAAAAAACAGTGCAACTATACACATAATAGTACAATATAACTCATAAAACAGTGAAATTTCTTTTATTTTACACAGCGTTTGTATTATAGTTGAAAAAATGCAATGTTGTATAAATACCTTGTTCTTATTTACAATTAGAAACTATTATTCTTTATTAGATAAAATAAATTCTAATTTCATTTTAAAGATGTGACAATAAAAATATTCTTTTTTTTTTATAGAAGATGGATATGACGAAAAATGAACTAGGAGTTCTTCATAATAATAGAAAATAGAATTCTTCCGAATCAGTGACCTGAAATTATTCGAACTCGCACTTAGTCCTGAGTTTAAGGAACCAATATTTTGTTTGTTCACTTACAGCGTTAGTTCTATTTATTTTCTTTTGATTTCAACGATCGATATTTATGTAACAGTATGCCGTAGATATTTTATCTTAAAATACGAGTGTCGAAATAAAAATTTCTTATAAAGAAAGAAATATATATATATAGTATTTAATCGTAAATTATGACATTTCTATTATATGTTAAATGGTATATTCTGATTGATAGTTAAAATTAATAAATATCTGTAGTAAAAAGAAAATTATTTTATTACTAATCTCTAATACATAATTTAATGTTCTTAAGCGTAAATCTATATTGCTATCTCACCGTAACATTACTTATACAAAATACCTTTATTTAATGTATCCACGTGTTTATGAAGGACGTCTTTTTTTTCTATGAATAATGAGTCATATGTTCTTATTTATTTATAATATTTCATAATAAAATCTCATTCTTTTCTGTGTTAATTGTACCTAATAAAAATAACGGTGTATAAAGTTAGATAATAATATTTCTTATTAATTCATTTATTTTTAAATACATTAAATAGTAAATTTAACGATGACTTTTTTCTTCTATTTTAATGAATATAAAAACTTTTTTCATTTTTGCTTTCGATATACTTGGTGAAGCATTAGATAATTATTTAGGTATGGCTATCTACAATAGAGTACTATACTCTTGAAACAGAGAGGATAGTTATATTTTAACAATTGATGGATCGTTTATTTTGAATTAATAAAAGAAAGAAATATCGAATTAGACTCATTGAGAGCGACATTTTCTCAATAATCAACAACATCCATTGCCAGTCAATTTTAGACTTTGATAAAAATTACTAATATTCTAAGAATACTATTACAATTCACGATGAACATCGAGTAACTAATCAAAAGATATATTATTTATGTACATTTTTTTTACTCTATTGCCTCCGTTTATTATTATATAATAAATATTTTTGTTGTACTCATTAACTTAAATTATGAGATAAGACTATATTTATATGTATAACAAATAATGTAATACGAGAATTAATTTACGAAATAGTTTAAATTAATAAAGATGTCAATAAAAAACATATTGAATAATTAAAAATTTTATTTTGATAAAACTATGAAATTTTTTTATTGTAAGTTTTCAAAAGAAAAATATCTTTGGTGTTAATCGGTATATCTGTTTATTCTATGACGACAATCGTATGAATAATATTTTATTATAAATCGTCGTAAATATGATTATTTTTATTGAGTGATACACGTTTGTATAGTATGATGAGTTAGTGGACAAAAACATAAGAAAAAAAAAAGTATTACAATATTATTCATCAAGGTAACGTAATATCTAAAGAGAAATATAAAATATGCGTTTAAATTAGGCTTCTAGAATAGCGATACGTAGGTAGAAAACCATGCATAATCGATGAGAGAGAGATTTCTACATGTTAACTGAGTATTATTTTTGGTTATGGTTGACTAAATTTATTTTATTTTTATCTATATTTGGATACTAAAGCGAATAAAAAAAACTGTATATAAAGGACGGTAGAATATCAGATTTTTATTCATTAAACAAAATACAAATATCTCGCGTTATTTTACTCATTTATTAATATATCAAATATGTACGGCGGATACGGTGGATATGGTGGATATGGCGGTGGTAGTTCAGAAATGAGATCTGATATGTGGATTCAACAAAATATTCCCGGTGGATTAAACAGTATGTATTACAAGTTAATTTTCTTTTTATCAGTAAGAAAAAATTATAAATATTTTCTTTTATTTAGGCAATATGGGTGAACGATTGGATAACTATATGGGTGGAAATACAAATCCAACATACGGTCAAGTATATGGTGGTGCACCAGGTGTTGGAGGTTATGGTGGTGGAGGTTATGGTGGTGGTTATGGATATTCATATGGAGGATATTAATACCTTTAAACTGTTTCCATCCTTTTTGTGAATAAAAAAATTTGTTCATATTTTTTCTTTATAATTCATAATCATATTGAAAATATAATATATAATTGACAAACATATCATTCTGATTCTAATTGTCATCTCAGATTTTCTGCACGCGTGAAGTGTACGAATGTGATGTTATTAAAATTTAGAAAAATGATTGTAAGGAGATATGAATAGAGACACTACTACCCATTTTAAAATAAAAAGCGCGTGTGTATTTTTTTTCTAACTTTCAATAGGAACAAGATGGAGAGCTGTGGGTTTTACCGTTGGAAAGAGACGATGAAGATGCATCAAAAAACTCCTAATAGTTTAGGTTAGGCACTTTCAAAAAAATCCTTTCTTTCGTGTAGGAATCATTTACTAGGAGTAAATTTATTGAATTTTAGTTTGAAAAATGAATATCTTCTATTGAACTTGTTTCTCCTATTGCGACGATTTGAAAGACAAATATTATTTCTTTTACTTTTATCAAAACTTCAAAATATTTTTCAACGTAGATTTTATTAGAAAGAAAATTGATCTATTCTTAACTTTCGTCAAGTGAAGACAAGAAAAATCGTTAAAATATGACTAAGTAGTAACTATTTTGGAGTTCATCTGAACATTAATTGTAAAATTAATATTAAAACAAACATATTCATTTCAATCGAATGAAAATGACTATGTCGACTCTCTTTCTCTGATGAAAAACTACTGAATAACATCAATAAAATTATTATTCAAAGCGTCATCTATAGTTGCTAAGTAACATATAAAGAGAAGAAACGAGCATTATGTTTCTCTGAGTCATTATATTCAACGCTGAATTAAAAATATTCATCATTGAAGTATTTTTCTACGTGTTCTCTGACTACTTACTTTATATAGAAGCAAAAGAAGAATGGAGTACATTTATTACGTGAAATCTACTAATTCAACCATCGCGTATAGTTTTGTTTGACAGTCATTTTTTTTTCTCGTTCTTTCAATGATAGAAGCGTAAGCGAGATGTAAAGAAGAAGAAGAAGATGTCAACAAAAACAATTGCACGCACATTGTCAACGTACCTTTCTTTATATTCTCAAACATTTATTTTCAATCATATAACTTGACAAAAAATAATTTTCTCTTTATTATGATTTGAAAAGAAAAATAATCTGAAGTTTGAATTTTAAATAATTATATATGGCAGATATTAAAATGAAAGATAAAAATGGTGATTTTTATGCTACTGCACCGAATCCAGTTAATAAGAATCCTCAATTTATGGGTGATTATCCACAACCAAAAACAACAGCATCAAAACTTCCTAATATAGATCCATATGTCGAAATTTCTACTGAATCACGTACAATTAATCATCCACCTAGACCACCTGGATCAGCATTAGGACCTTATATACAATTTATTACAACTGATTTACAAAAAATGTTATGGATAGGTAGTTTATTAATTTGTCGAGATATTTCATATGATCAACCTAAACTTGAATTTAATTGTGATATGAAAATTGATTATAATTGGGAAATTTTATATGAAAATCTTTATAATTTAAATATTTATCGTGTTAATCTATTTATTGAATTACGTTCCGGTGAAGATGATGATAAAATTATTTGGATAATTGATTGGGGTGATAAAAAAACTACTGGATTATTTTTTATTCCTCGTTATAATCAAAAATGGCGTGGAGGTTTTTTTTCTTGTAATGGATTTGATGCATATGTACCTAAACAAATTGCATTAAATTTAACTTCATTTAATGTTTGGAATCATCTATTATCTATTCATGAAGAAAAACCATTACATCTATTAATATGGGGTGGTGATCAAAATTATATTGATTATATATTTGAAGATATTCCATTTCTTCGTGCATGGCTTAATATGGAATGGAATGAAAAATGGACAACAGATTTTCGTGATGATTTAAAACAACAAGTTGAACAATATCATTTTAATACATATGCTGAAAATTGGAATCATCGTCCTGAAGTTAAAAAAGCATTAGAATCAATACCAAGTTTAATGTTATGGGATGATCATGATATATTTGATGGTGCTGGATCTTATCCTCCATTACTTCATAATAGTCCAATGATGATGGGATTATTTCAAGCAGCTCAAAAAATGCGTCTTTTATTTCAACATCATACAACATTTGAAAAGGCAAGAGAACATTATTTATTTGGGCATGAAGGATATAATTTATTTGCTCGTTGTGGAAGAAATTTAGCAATTATTGGTACTGATGGACGAACTGAACGTAATACAGAAACAGTTCAACATAAAAATACGTGGAATATGATATTTGATAAATTAGAAAATGAACTTGAAAATGTTGAACATTTAATTGTTGTTTTTCCTGTTCCATTTTCATTTATTCGTGCTCATATTGCTGAAACAATTTTTGAACGTTTAAAAAATGCTCCGAATAAATGGCGAAATCTTCCTGGTATTAAAAAAACGAATTCAATATTTGGTTTACCTGAACTTTATGATGATCTTCTTGATGAATGGACTCATGCTTCTCATATAGAAGAAAGAAATCATGTACTTCTTCGTTTTCAACAAATAGCTGAACAAAAAAAAATTCGTATTACTTATTTTAGTGGTGATGTACATTGTTGTGGTATTAGTCGATTTCAAACGAGAGGTTCTCAACGACCATTACCAATTCATGATAGTAAATTAATGTATCAAATTATTTCATCTGCTATTGTTAATATGCCTCCATCAAAAATGGCTATTCGTGTTGCTCATCATTTCAAAACGAAATGGAATCCAATTGATAATACGGAAGAAGAAGTAATTGATTTTTTTGATCGACGACCAGAAAATGGTGGAAAAGTTTTTCATAAAAAATTTCGTCCAAATAGAAATTGGTGTTATTTTGAACAATGTTCAAACATTACATCAACTAGTGTTACTGTTGTACAAACAAAATATTTTCATTGTATTCCATGTGGTGATAATTCAATTGTACCAATGAATTTAGGTCCAACTTCTAATCAAGATGGTATTGGTAGTCAGCAATTACCAATTCATGATCATTCCTATGATAAACTATGTCAACAACAGATTTATTCCGATCAACGACAAATTGGAACGAATGATTTGAGAATTAGATTTTGGTTAGAAAGTACTGAGAAACATGATGAAGGAAGACAATTTACTAGTTATGATCTACTTATTCCTAATCTCAAATAAAAAAATTTGATATTTTCAGTTAAGATAAAAGTATCATTAAAAGATGGCTCTCAAGGATTTCAAATGAAACTAAGTAGGTTTTATAGAGTGAAGTGTACCTATTTCAATTGTGTCTATAAAAAGTTATAGTTGAAACATTGTTTAAATATGATTTCTTTCAGTAGGGTCTGGTGGGACTGTCCCGATCTCTATCCTGTTCGGAGCGGGATCAAAATCTCCACCTTTATCCCGATGAGATGGGATCGGAATCGAAAAGCCCGATTCCGCCGGACCCTATCTTTCAGTGTTTTATCTAGCGGGTGGGCTAAGTGAGCGGCACCCAGTCAGAGTTTTCATTTCAATCACCCGACAGTTAGATTCGCACACCCAAAAAAGAAAAGCAGGATAATACACTGATTTCTTCTGTGGACTTCTGCAATTACTATCCTTTTGTTTGCTTCATATTCATTTCTTTTATATTACTTTAAAAAAGTATGCGCGATAACCTGCATAATCCCTAATAGACGGTCACATGTCCTGCAATCATCATGAAAAATATTCGTAAGAAAAAATTATTTGAAATAGCAATAGTCTTGTTTCAATTTATGTTTATCTTTTCTATGATCAATACATCAAGTACAATTATAAAAACTTGCTTTGATAATGATAGTCATATGTAACCTAAACTAATGAATGATAGATAGTATTATTTAGATCGTCTTTAGAATGGCATTAATCATTTATTAGATAATAAAATAAAAAGAAAAACATTATATTTTTTCCTCTCGTATTCTATATTTGATTTTTTTCTAAAATATTTTTAAATTGTTCTAAAAAATATTCGATATTTTCTTTTGTAATCATATAATGTATAACTAATCGAGCTTTCCATTTTCCTGATGCTGACATTAATATTCCATGTTCCTGTTTGAAGATGCCAGCTATTGTTTGTAAATCTATTTTAACCTTATTAGGATTTAAATCAAAATAGACAATATTTGTTTGTACATCATTTTCAGGATTGATTTCACAGCCAGGAATTTTTGCTAATCCTTCAGCAAGTAATTTTGCATTTTGATGATCTAATTTTAATAATTTTGGCATTTGTGTTAATGAAATAATTCCAGCAGCAGCTAATACACCTGCTTGTCTCATTCCTCCACCTAATACTTTTCTTAATCGTTTTGCTTGTAGAATAAATTCTTTTGTACCAAGAATAATTGATCCAACAGGTGCTGCTAAACCTTTTGATAAACAAATTGAAGCCGAATCACAACATTCAATTAATTGAGCTGGATCAACATCTAATGCAACAGCTGCATTCATTAATCTTGCACCATCCATATGTAATTTTAAACCATATTGTTTACATAATTGTCCAACACTTTGTATATATTCTAAAGTTAATATTTTTCCTCCCATTCGATTATGTGTATTTTCTAAACAGACTAATTTTGTTTGAGGAAAATGATCATCAGTCACCATACGAATTCGTTCTTCAATATCTTTAAGTAAAATAGTTCCATCTGGTTGTGTTGGAGCTACTCGCGAATGAACTCGTCCTAATGTTGCACATCCACCTTGTTCAAATAAATGTATATGATTTAGATCACCTAGTATCATTTCTGAACCGAATTGTCCACAATGATTCATTACACAAATAAGATTTCCCATTGTTCCTGATGGAACAAATAATGCAGCTTCTTTTCCAAATAATTGAGCTGCCATGTCTTGTAATTTAATTACAGTTAAATCATCACCATAAACATCATCTCCAACTTCAGCATCAAACATTGCTTGACGCATTTCTTTTGTTGGTTTTGTAACTGTATCGGAACGAAAATCAATAAATGATGTGGACATCTTTTACTTTTTTTTTGTTTCAAATAACTAAATGATACAGCATATAATGCAAAAAGATAGTTATATACATTTATTTAACAAAGATAAGAGCGGTTAAAAGTCACATGCATTTTATTATTTACTATGTCATCATTATGAGATAAGTACTCATTTTTATTTTATATATGATAAGTAATGTATAAGATGAATTTAACATTTCGATACATTATCGTCATCTATGTTTTAGTCTTCATATGACCGTTATGCTCGACTGCTGTTCATTGTTTTATCTTTTCTGTATATGTAGATGGACAGCTTGTTGTGTGAAGAAGTCAAAAAACATGTGTATTGATATTTTCATAAAACTTATATAGATTCAAGTAAATACTCCCGAATTAATGTGTATTTCATTTTATATCAATCGAATATTAAATATTTGATCTAAATCTTTATTCTCTTTCCTGTTAGTTTATAAACTTTCACTTTTCACAGTATAGGCGTGATCTTCTGTATTAGAAATAAACATATTCACATTATTTTAATGAACCTCAAAATAGATTTATTAGTTCATCGTAGGCGTCGGGTCAAAGAGAAAAGTGTAAACTGTAAAAATCGAATTAAATTTCTTTCCAAATATTATTCATATTTTTATACGAGTTATAGACTCTTTTTTTGCTACTTTTGTTTGTTTACCAACATTAATTAATCTTACCATAATTTAGTATGATGTATCTTATATTAATAAAAAGATTTTTGCTGTAATTCATTATTATCAAAATCGAAAGAGGACATCACAGTCAATTAACTTTATGAAAACGTGTGAAATATTTTGATGATGAAGTATCGTATTTCTAAATATTATTTATATCAATATGGATACTAAAACTGAAAAAAACATTGTATATACGTTATAATGATTCATAGAGCTAAAGAAAATGCCTATTTTATCAGTAGATGTGTCATTATGAATGTCCTTTTTCGAAAAATGCTGTTGATATTTTTTTTTCTTTATGAAAATATATGGATCAATTTAATACTCATGTACTTTTTCATATTATTAACTATTTACTTCGGATTGATTTCGAAATGACTGTATTTATCGATTAAAAAGTGTAGGTAGAAAAGCATGAAAATATAAATTATTGTCAATAATATCTCATATTTCAATTGGCATAGTAAAGCTTTTGTAATGATAAAAGGCTTAGTTATCACCCTATTTGAATGCATTCGTTTTTCTGACATTAATTTGATTTCTTTCAATAACAATATTTATCAGTATTACTGAAGACGAGGAAAAAAAATGATATTTGCAGTCCTGTTCACAATTTTTTTTCTTAACGGTGTTTTATCTCAACAAAGTGTATTTGATCCATATTCATATACACAAGCTAGTTGTACTGGTAGCTATCAATGGACAATGTGGTTCGATACAAACGATCCAGATATGTCACAAGGTGATGTTGAAATTACGAATCATATTCAACAACTTTTTCCTACATTTATGTGTACTACACCAACTGCTATTGAAGTAAGTTTCAAAGTAACTTCTTTTTTCTTGAAAATACACGTGTTTTATTTTTATCTAGGCTCAAACTTCATTCGATGCAAATCCAACAACAACTGGTGACATATTTCGTATCTCTGTTAAAGATGGTTTCTTATGTTTAAATCAACGAGTTACCGGTTACAAAACCAAATTGTGTACTGATTATAAAGTTCGTTATTGTTGTCTAAGCACAAGTCTTCAAAACTAAATAATAACGAAAATAAAACATGCGATAATACATATTCGAACATAAAATATAATCTTTTATTCAAATATTATAAAAATAATTGTAATGACTTAAAGTTTATATGATATAAGATTAATATATTCGAAAATAAAATACAGTATCGTGTGGGTGCAAAAAGTCACAGATATCAAATTGCTATTAATTTTGAAAGTTCAGATTGAAATCGTAATTAATTCAATTCAATATAAAAAAGATTATTTTACTAAAGAATGTGCTATTAATTAAATTTCTATAGGAAAAATTTTCACGACCAGTTTGCAGGTTTTTCAAAGAATAAAAATATCATACAGAAGTGAAAGTAAGCAAGGCAAATGATATAATCGAGATCGTATTAATTTACGTATCAATAATAACATGACTGTTTATTTTTCATGTCCATTGTCATCAATAATAATAGATTCTTGAGTAGTTCCTTTGATTTATTCGAATTTAATTGTAAAAACTGAATGGTCTTCAACAGTAACGATGTCGATAGAAGAATTAACTTAACCTGTGGCAATCTTCTAGTCCATCATCACTAGCTACTAAAAATTTTTAGACATAGTATTCATCTTTTACTGTAATAATTGTACCCAGCATAGTCACCATTTGTCTATTAGTTATGTTATATTTTCATTCTATAAGATGATGATTTTCGAAATCAACAATACAGTTGCCATCTACATCAAATAGTTCGATCCTGTCATCACCATAACTATTTCATCTAACGAAAATAAAAACATTTTGTATTTATTAACTATTAATGAAAAATGCATGACGAAATAATTTGAATTTCAAAAGAATTTTCTTCTTTCTTCTTATGAAAAAATAAAGTTGATCTCGATGAGAGAAATTACTTTTGATTTTAAAAATTAAAAGCTTTTCATAACATTACTATCATTACGATAAATTCTTCAATCAATAACATTTTTCGATTCATTCTCTATCCATATGAATATATTTTCATCAACAATTTTGTTGAATTGAAATATTTGCTAGTTCAATGAGAGATATTTTTTATCATTTATTTGATAGAGTTATGTTTCCCTTGATGAAACTCCCATATATTAATACATAACCTTTTGTTTACTAAATTTTTCTTAGATTTCTTTAACATTTTAACAAGGCGTTTCTATAGCACATAAAAGAATAATGTATATCGTTGTCATGATAATTCAAAAAGCTTTTTTTCCTCTGTAGCAAAATGCAGTCATACAAAGGAACACATTATCAATAAACATTATTATGAAAAGGATAAAGAAAAAAAAGAAATTTTAAGAAATTTAATGCATTACATCAACAATCAGCAACGTCAAGAAAAAAAAATACATAGTGACTCAATTTATATGATGATTGGGTTAACAATCGAATATTTTTCAATGTCTTGATAAATTTTGTGTATAGTATAAATACATTTATAGTGATCTGATGATCGAATAATTGAATAATGATCGTTATTAATGATATATTAAGTTCTAGATTCAATAATTTTGATCTTTGATAATATTTTGAAACCATTAGAAAACCATAACAAAAATTAAAGAAAAAAAGGATTTTTTTAAAGAGAAAAATGAAGTCAAATAAAGATGCAAGGAACAATATTGTTAACTACTACAACTATATACATTCATATTTGTTAGAAATTTCAAAGACTATATGTAGAATAATCCTATAATTATACGGAGACAACTGAAAAACTTACTACTTTCATATTTTATACATGTTCATTATTTGTGAAGCTTGTATTAATTGTATACAACCATTTATCAGTATGTATAATCTATCGAAAAACTAAATTCATCAATTTCTGTTATTGATCATAAGCATAAACATTTTAATGAAACGGAATACAATTGCGAACATCGATTTCTTCAATGGACTGATAAAAACAATAAACATACTTTTTGATGACCTCGTTTAATAAAAAAAGTACGTTAAAATATTGGTACGTGACATTTTGTTTCCAAAGCTTTTTCAACAGAAGAAAATATGAATGCAGGTACTTTAAAAGCATGACATACACAAAATTTATTTTTTCTACAGTGATTTTAGCATGTTATGGGTACTGCATGTGCAATGATGTTCTGTTCTCTGTTACTTTCAGTATTTTTCTCTTTCCGTTCTCCGATAGTTTTAGTTTCAATGGATCCCTCAAGCTAGAAGAAATGCATTCACTACTTGCCCACACAGTTACCAGTCATACTCGCATGTATATATAAGCATAGCATACATTCAATAATCTACACCAGAAACTAAAATATTACAGTAACAATGATCTACCAACAACTGTACTGTGCTTTCTACGTGCTTCTATGTATGATTAACTTGCCAAATATTCAATCAACAGCATCGAATTCATTATCCGATTGTCAAGCAGTGGCTTCACAATTTCGAACAACAATTAATTATACAGCCAGCAGTATTACAGGGACTACTGGAGTTAATGTTAGCTGTTCAGCCAGTGGTATTGTATGTCCGGGTACAACTATCAATGGTGTTTGTGTATGGCAACGAAAATTAAGTGCTGTTTGTCGAAATGCTAGTGGTGTTATTAAAATTCGTATTCAAACAAATGGTTTACCTCCACGTTGTGCTGCTGTACCATCGAGTACTTTTGCCGAATTAGATGTTGATTTTGAAGTTAACTTTAATCCTGATGTTAGTATTAATTCGTTAAATTTGAATTTAAGCACTGTTGCTTCACTTTCACAAACAATCTGTACACTAACTAGTATGTCATCAGTTCCATCAGCTTCCGGCTATGTTAATTATGGTACGACAGGTTTGGATACTGCAACGGGAGTAGCAGTAGACGGTGTAATGATGTTTACTTCTGATTCAGCAAATAATTATGATCCGTTTTTTCCACCATCAGGTGGAACTGCTGAAACAGTAGATAGCTGTCTTGCTCATTGTCAAGCGGCTGGTATATATCATTATCATATTGCTACTGGTTGTCAAGTCAATCCTCCAACAGGAAATATTACATCATGTGCTGCTGTTAGTGCTTGCAATTCAAATATTGCTACCTATTCTATATCTTCATTTTCAAGTTATCAAACAAAGACAGTAATTGGTGTTGCCAGAGATGGGCATGTTATTTATGGTCCTTATTTATCTTCAGGTACTCGAGTAACAACAGGTTTTGATGTTTGTAATGGAATGTTTTATGATTCCATTGGTAATTATGCTTATTTTGCTACATCAACATATCCATATCTTGTTGGATGTTTTGGACCAGGAAATTATCCATCATTTGGACCCAATTGTACCACTAATGGAGTATCGACCTATAATATGTCATCTTATGCTATTTCATTCTTGAGTAGTAATACTACTAACACAACTACTGCTTCAACAACAATGGTAACAAACTCAACAACAGCATCAACAACAAGAGTAACAAACTCAACAACAATGGCGACTAATTCAACTACAGCTTCGACAACAAGAGTAACTAATTCAACAACAGCATCAACAACAAGAGTAACTAATTCGACAACAGTCCATCATTCGGCTTCCATAAGTGGTCGAATCAATCTTGATACTGGTCTTATTCTTTTACTTATTACCGCTTGGATATGGTTATATTAAACAATTGTTTGAACTATGATATTTCCTCTACTCATAACGTTTTCGCGTCCATTTTATCTACTAATACTATTCCATGTCACAAAATAAATTTATGAAACTAAATAAAATAAAATCATAATATATTTGAGCGAAAGAATTTTTGAGGGGTGGGGGTGGGTGTGGGTGTGGGTGTGAATGGATGAGCAAGATAATACCCACACGTGTCATGTTGAATAGCAGCAGACCTGTCCCGTTCATTTGGTCTTTTTTCAAAAGTATACCTTTTTGCATTCATCTTTTCTTTCAGTTGTTTATTTCTTTCTGTTTGCAACTACAGGATATTGATGGATATTTAATCTTTCGAAAAATAGGGTGCGGGTCGTTTATTCATTATACACCCACAGCCAATTCAACCCTATTGTTAAAAAGAAATGAATTTGAATGAAAAGTTAAGTTCGATCACTTTTTTGATTCCAGATCTCTATGATTATGTTAAAAAAACTGTTTAAACCTTATATTTAACCTTTAATTCTCAAAAAATCGTTTTTCTCTCCATAATCACGATTTCCACGACATAGTTCTCTTTTGTACGAGAATAAACAAAAATGAAACATTAATCAAAATCGATGAATTTCAAATGTATAATATTTCGAATAAATTCTCTATTTTTACTGCACGTATGAATTAGATTACATATTTTTAATTATATATAGAAAGAAGCAAATGAAATCCTATAAAAGCATATCATTCTTTCCTTCATTTGTTGCTACTAATGTGCTTTTATGATAATGGATTGTAATTGCTTTTTTTTTTGCTTTGAAGTTTAATGGACATGAAGAAGAATAGTAGAATGAAGATACTCATGTTAAAATGACAAATCGCTCATAATAAAATACTTATCATTAAAAGCATGCATTTCCTTTTATAAAATAATGTCATGCTTTGCTCTATATAAATTCTATTGTTATCACTGTTAAATTATTTAGTATACGCAGTAAAATACAAAATTCAAAACAACATACAATAAAACGGTTTTATGATCATGTTTAGCTGTCACTTTCGTGTACTGATTTTTGCTTGGTGCATTTTGGGACCTACGCACCTTCAAAGTATTTCAATTGGTTGGGAATCATTAGCCACCTTCTCAAGCTATGGTTTTAAATTCTCTCCCATCGACGAACAAGCTCTTTTCATTCTTGAAAGCAATGTTAATTCGATTATGTCTTGTGTTCAAACATGTCATTCAAATACACAATGTCGCATCTTCGATTTCGATGATCAATCACATCGTTGCCGTATTTTTGAAGGCGATATCACTACAATGGGTTCTGTAGTTACTTCTTCATTATCTGCTCGATCGATTGTTGGAACAATCGAATTACAACCTGACAATTTTGTTAACCGAGGTCAACCATGTTCATATTGCCAAGAAAGTCGATATTTGACATGTATCAATGCTACTTGTCAATGCCAATCACATACGTTTTTTGATGGATCTATATGTCAAAGTCAAAAACTATTGGGCGCTGAATGTATTGATAGTACAGAATGTCGATATGATCTGAATTACACATGTCTACCACGTCAGCAATGTGGTCGTGAGTATTCCTATTTATTACTTTTTTTTTATACATATAATCAATACAATCCTTAGTTTTATTTTTCTGCAAATGACAGATATGATAAATAGCATTTTGACTAGTTTATTTTATTTTGCAGCACTTTCTATACAAAACGGTAATACTGTTGGTGGCTACGCGAATGGTACAGCTGGAAATGCTCTTAATGCTTTGAACTTTCCTGGTGGACTATCTCTCGATTATAACGGTTTGATATATGTTAGCGATTTCAACAATAACAGAGTGATCAAATTACAAGAAGGATCCTTAGTTGGCTCGATTGTTTCTGGTACAGGAGTGAGTGGCAGTAGCGCCAGTCAATTGAGTTCTCCAGCAGGATTATATGTCGATGCATCATTAAATATTTACGTAGTCGATACTTTTAACTTTCGAGTGATGCTGTGGCACAGGAACTCATCCAGTGGTAATCGTGTTGCCGGAACCGGCAGTGTTGGAACTTCATCAAGTACCTTAAGTTATGCAGGTGGAATCGTTGTCGATTCGTTAGGAAACCTGTACATATGCGATGCCTATAATCATCGTGTGATGAAATGGTTAGCAAATGCCACTTCTGGAATCCTTATTGCGGGCACTGGCATGGCCGGTAGCAGCAGTCAACAGCTCAATATGCCTTATACCCTCTATCTTGACGAATCCAATTCATATCTTTATATTGCTGATGGTCTCAATCATCGTATTCAACGTTATGATTTACGTTACTCGATGAATGTTACTACCGTCGCCGGAGGAAATGGTCCGGGAACTGGAAGTCACCAGTTGAATACACCGATAGGCGTGTATCTTTCAAAAAAGACAGGAGCCATTTATATCGCTGATAGCAACAACCATCGTATTCAGCGTTGGATTCCTGGAGCAACACATGGCGTTACGATTGGAGGTCTTGCTGCCTTAAGCGGTAATAACGCAACATTATTGAATCAACCTCGTTATGTTTCTCTAAACCTTAATGAAACGCAACTCTATGTGACCGACGGAAGTAACAATAGAGTACAACGTTTCCAACTCATTTAACAGTGTCTGAAGACTTCTTGGTCTTTATCAACACAATAATTTTTTTTGACGAACCTCATCATTTTTCATTTTCAATATATCGTTTATTCTCACAATAATTATCTGAATGTAAATTCTATCTTCTTTAAAATAAAACTGCAGTATAATATATAAAAGTAGTTTTTAGGTGATTTGTATAATAAATACCATTAGTTCGCGACAGATCGATTTGTCTCACATCCTTCACTGAAGGATGAATGAAACAGTTTTATTCGTCTTCTAGTAAATAAAAATATTCATGAAGTATTTTCATTTCAGCATTAAGGGTGTGGTAAGAGTCTATGTAAAAAAAATACGGATAAGTATACGAAATAGATGAAGAGGAAATGGCAATAACCTTGTTATTTCGTAATACGTCAGCTAAATATTTTGCCTAGACGTCTCCGATACAATTGCCTGTAAAAAAAACTGCATATAGATGTAGCAGAAATATGCAAAGAAAAGAATAACTACCGTGTTCTTTTGTAATGTATCAGCTAGGAATTGTTTTGAATCGTTAAATAATCTTATTGATCCTGAATTTGATAGATAATTCCTACCGGTAATGTAAGAAACGACACGTTTCTTTTCCTCTTCGTATTGAATGACTATTATATATTTGTTATGCGTCATTGATTTCACTTGATGGTGTAATTACAAGTTTTAAAAAATGGATCATAAAAGAATGATTATTAACGACGACATGTTAAACTCTAGGTTTAAATACAAACAAAATATCTTCGATCTATTCATCCATATTCTCACGATTAAACTTTTTTTTGCTTTAAGAATAATATACGGACATCTATCGATAATATATCAGCGGCTACTCATGACGTCACTCGAATGGCAATCGATCACTAAGAGACGATTTCCTGTCAACATGATGCAATGACAAAATAAATCATGACGTTATATTTCAAAAAGCGTCAATCCTGAAAGAAAAAAAATATATATATATAGACACCTAACAAGTTATTGTATAACACTGCAATATTATTAGATTTTCTAAATAAATTTATGTCGCATGAACAATTTCTGGGTAGCATAGATTTAGGTTATACTACTTCTTTGTTAACAAATTATGATACATCCACAGCAATTGAAGATGGTAACAAATTCAATATAATCAAACATCAAGATGATCTTATATTAATTAAAGTAGGTGCTTTACTCACTTCCGATGAATGTGACGAAATTGCGACTAATCTTGATAAAAAAAAATTCGAAAATATGTCTAATAAATATAATATTAGAAAGCGAAATAATTCAAGATTAATAGTAATGGATGATCAATTAGCTGAATTACTTTGGCAACGTTTAAATTATCACAATGAATTAAATAAAATCGCTGCAGATACAAAACCATTGGGTTTCAATGTTCAAGGTAATTGGGAAATGAGTAGTGTCAATACAGCGATGAGATTGAATAAGTACAATGCAGGTGAATACTTTGCACCTCATAAAGATGCTCAATACGCACCAAATGGTGATGAAAGATCATTATTTAGTTTATTAATTTATCTAACAGATAAATATGAAGATGGTGAAACAAAATTTTATTTTCCAAAATCATTATCAAAAACTGATATAAAAGGATTAACAATCAAAGAAGAAATTGACGGTTATGGTGGATTGGAAAATGGTTACCAATGTGTTATAGTAAAACCAAAAAAAGGTTATGCTATTCTCTTTACACATAATCTATTACATCAAGCAACATCACCTAAAATAGTAAATGATTTGAATAAGACTCAACGAGTTGTACTACGAAGTGATGTAGTAGTTAAAAGAAAAGAAAAACCATTGTGATTTGCTATTAGTCCAGAAGAAGAAGAAGATTATCTTGCTTGTCTAAACTTTTTTCGTGAAGCACAACAAAGCGAATTACAACATGATCATATTCATATTTATAGTCTATTTGAAAATTCGACTGATATCGGAGATTTATATGAACGATCATTATCAATTCGATATTGTTATCCACGTCTACTGGAAACCAAATTGAATAAATCAAGTGATAAATCAGAACCATTGATTAATCGATTACCAACAGAAATGTGGCTTCATATTTTTAAATATATTCACGAGCAAGATGTTCGAAATTTAGTCTTTGCTTATCCACAATTTGAATTATTGAAAATTGTTTGGGAAGCTCAAGAGCAAAAATGTTTAAAAACCGATCCATTAAAACCGAAATTTATTCCTACAATTCATACTCAATATGGTAGTCGAACATTATTTCGTTTTTCTGATGCTGATTTTTTCTACCAACATGTTAATGCATGCTGTCGTGTCTCAGCTGTGTATGCTTTTTTTTTATTAGGACATGGAAAAGATTCAACAACATATACCGTTCGATATGATAGAAATACTCATGATGTGTATGAAGTAGAAATGGAAAAACTATTGGCAGATGCATTTTATAATAGAAATTGTTATGGATCATTGTTTCGTGTGAATCAAATGAATGAACATAAACGTCAACCAACAATGGATTTAAATTCAAGTGTTGATCGAACATATATGATAAATCGACATCAATCACAATTTATTGGACAAGATCTTTTATCACGTTTTTATCTTGTATTACAAGCTTTTGACCCATCACCAATTGATGAAAATGAAATGTATGTAGATCAATTTGATGAAGAGGATTATCTGGCTTGACAGCAGAAGCATGCTTTATACGATCGAGATGAACGACTTGTTGATAAGTGTTTGCAAATTGAAGCAAATGAAAAGTGTCCGATGCAAAGGTTAAAAGATTGTACTCAACGTTACCGTAAACATATATTAAATCAAACAGAGAAAAACTCAGGTACTAGTCTGCTTCGAATATTATCAGCAAACGAAGATATAGAAGATAGATATTGTAATTGTGGTATGCTTTATGAACGACTATCCAGAATTCGTCATTTGATTAATATTTACAACCATCTTATATTTGATTTTGAAACACATCATTTAACAGTTGAACGACTGCCGGATAAAGAATCCAACTTAGATTACAATTCCCTTTTATATGATTCTGTTAGAAGACTACAAGAATCAATTCCACAAGAAAACCCTATTTCATTTTATCGTGTCAATATTGAGAAATTAGCAACAGAAACAAAAGGATTTAATCATGCATCATGTCAGTGCGCATATCCATCAGTGAAAGTTGATCAATTTTCATTTCTTGATTATACACATTTATCACATGTACATTTGGCAGTCGCTCAAAATGGTGATCATGTATTTGTCTTAGCTACATATGGTGGAATTGCTGCATTTTAATTTTTTTTTTCGACTATTTTGAAATATGTTTCAATTAACGTTAACAAAATAAAGAATTAAAAAAATATCATCAGAAAAAAAGAGTAATCAGCTAGATGTACTAGAAACAACGAATAGATACGAGATAAACAGTTCAATTCAAAACGACAAAACCAAAAGGGGTCTTTTTAGTACACATTTGTTTGATATAGCATTATATTCGAATATAATAATGCAAGCGTCGGATCGAATCAATAACAAAAATAATATTTTTCTATTTGTAACGCAATAAAAAGGAGTAGATTGTCATATATATTAGAAACTATAATTTAGTGATTATCAACAGTTGAGATATATTCAAAATATCAAATTTGTAATACACCTGTTAAATCCTCTTTGATGTATTAAAATTTAGTAATAAAATTGATTGATTACTCTCATCTAAAGCTCTATGGGAAAAAACAAATTATACCACAACACTCAGCTTGTCGAGCTCTGCAAACTAAGATATATCCCATTAAAAACTGAGACTCACACTTGGGGAGCTTCCCTCGTTAGCCATATTTAGTCATCACTTTCAATATTTCAAAAATAGTAATAAAGATATGGATATTGAATCACTGCTTGTGAGAAAATAGCATGTGTTTTTATTAGAAGGGAGATGGCGTTATTGATATTACAGTACTGTGAAATCGCTGTATGTCGTCTGCTAGCGGTGGCAAATGTTGAATACGATGTGCTTCTAATAAATTTTATTTCGGGACGATTCTTTTAAGAAAAATGATAATTAAACAGATACAAAACGGAAAGTTTATTGATGATCAGTTGTCAGTATTTTATTTTATCAAAAGATGTTATAGATGTACATAATTACTCATGAATTCAAATAATTCATTTTTAAACATTCTTAATTTTCTTTAAACGTAATGTTTACCATCATCATTTTGTTTACAAAGTTTTATTCATTGTTATTCATATTGTACTACTGAATATAGCTAAAATTCTTTTTTCATTAACGAAAAGAGTGGTTCTGTAGAATCACATTATTGCATACATAATAATCACTTCAGTCTTGACTGTGCATAAAAAGAAAGATTTAGTATTCACTCTTGTTTGGCAAGAAAAACTTTCAATAATATCAAGAAATATAGCTTTCGAGATATTTTGCTGTATGAAATCACTTATCAAGGTATCATGCAATTTAGAGTATTTCACTTAATAATTTACCAGTTTTTTAATAGAATCAAGCTCGATGATTGAATTAGTAGAAATCAGGACATCGTAATTCGTTTTCGATTTTCTCTTGGCTCGTGTTGTTGACAACAATTGATCATGTTTTAGTGATATAGCAACATTCAATGGTCTTTTTATTTGCTCTTTGTTATGTAACTCTAATAATTCATCTTTTGAGAGTGAATATAAAATATTCTCAACGAACTTCAAGATAAAATTTCATGATTTTGAAGCTATTGCTTCTCAAGAAAAGAATGATTTATTTCGTTTTTTTCACAATAGAATGGATGAATCATTATCATGACAATCGGTAGCTTTCCCGTTTTCTTATCAGTCCTTTCCCCCACATTACATAGGCTTTCTTCCTTATTCCCTTTTTAACGGGGAATAGTATGCGCACATTAATAGACATATACGAATCATCATGACGAAATGTCACACGATTATGTTGAATAGGTAACATGTAATTTCGTTGTGAATCCATAGGCGTTGCATGGAAAAAGCCATAATCCCCGCACTTTCTAGTTGTCTAATGGCCAGTTTCCCATTCGCATGTGAAAATACAACCATGTATCTCCTTCCATATATATATGTCTTATTTTACCATCAAAATTTATAAATCAATTTTTGGCTTTATTGAAATCAATCAATCTTATATATACTTAGGTGAGTACTTAACTGAAGCGATTTTAGTTAAATATGATCATATGATTTATATAATTTAGATACTATGCCTTCGATAAAAATGATATCCATTTTATTCTTCTTTGTTTTGTTGTTGATGGTTCATGCAGCGACTGAGCTCCATGAAAACTCAAGTAATTATGATAAGAGAGAGCTATTAATAGGTAAACGATTGTCTATTTTTCAGTGGTGCTTGCAAATGAAACTGCGTTGAATGGCGATGTACGCCATTTCTTTTGCGACGGGTCTAGTTATGACCAAGCTCGATGTAGAAAGCACTGTAGAGATCGCGGTTACACAACAGGCATTTGCCGAGAACGTAATGGACGTCTACAATGTCAATGTCTCAATTGATCAGTAAACACTATACAACTGCATCAATAATACTTATTCAAGAATTTTTAAGATATATTTACGTGAATTTTCTTTTGTGAATTAATAAAACTAAACGTCTTCCTGAAATAAACATCTATCGATACATTGAAAGATGAATCGACACGTTTGCAATACCTATACAGACAACGACAATATTGTAATTTATGAAACTTATCTATCATTAGAATCATCTGGATCGCTTTCAACAGAATCGAACCTTTCAGTTATACTTTGATAGTATATTCAGTCGGAAAACGAATAGATTCATGAGTTATCGCGCTCTATATTTAGTGATAAAACAACTGAATATCATTTTACAGTATGGTTAAATATAAAATTCATTAAAATACTATATTTTCGATTTCTCTTGTTCGATGATCCTCGATATTAAAGCAATGAACCTTACCAAAAGAGAATTGATAAGGTAGTGAGATTTGCTGTCGAAACCACACTTTATATCTACTCTAGATATTTGACAACGAGCATAATTTAGAACTTCATATCAAAGCAGAGTATTTTTGTTCATTACTATAAGCAATATATAAGATGAAATGCGAAATTCATTGAACGTTTCTTACAATAGATTTGAATGTATAAAAATGAAAAAATAACAAATATGGATTTTGGTGAAGCGTATAAAAAGTAACAAAACAATACTGCCGGTAGACATTGAAATCCAATTGAATTAGTAGCTATTTTTATTGATAGTGAACCGATCGCTATATCAACACATTGAACTAGTTTTGTACAATGACTACTCAAGTTAACCCTTTTGAGACGATTCTTTTTCCATAGAAAGTAACGAGTAACTCAGAATAAATAATCGCACTTCGCATCTCATATTCTAATCTCTAAAAACATTATATTACAAAACAAATCCATTTTCATCATATCTCCACAATTAATCGCACGCATTTTTGATTTTTCTGAAAAGAAAGGTACACAACTGAAATAAGCTTTACGACTAGATTTGTAGAGCTTTTCATCATGAATCTTGTGGTATATATTCTGTTTTCTAATAAAAAGTTTTCAGAGATTAAAATGTGAAATTCAAACCACAGTCGTTTACTCTGGATCATCTGCTTGAGGGTGAGGGTGAGGGTGCGGATATGACTGTGGATAAAAGAGGAGTAAAACACCCACACCCAAACCTAAACCCAGATTCACCCACATACCCACTCACATCCACACCCACATCCACATGCACATTCACACCCTTACCCGCACCCAAAACTCACTCTGAGATTCTCAGTGGTTTATTGTGGAAACGACAGTAATCCAACATATCAGGTTACATTCTATGTCGATGTATCGTCTGGTATCAGGAAAGAGTATAGTTTTTTTCCTTGTTTGACAGACTTTATATTATGGTTATATGATCATTATTTCACAAATCAGAAATAAAGCATGAAGTGTAAATGTAAGGATTATTAATAAATTGATGTTGATTTTTTTCTACAGGATGTGTAATCATATACTATCATGAAACTAACATTATCTTTTTAGCACGTTTATTAGTTGTTTGAACATGGTTTTATTCTTTTTTTAACGTTTTTTATTACTAGTAGACGAGTTTATCGATGACAGTAATTGTTCATTCACATTACAGTAGAAAAGATTCTCCTCTCACTAAAAATATATAATTTTTTGTTTCTCTGGACTATATACAGTCTATACTCTTGCAACCAGTGAAGATAAAAATAGAAACGGTCGATAATGGACACAAGTTCATTAAATAAAGGTAAAATCATTTTTCAGCTTCTGATAATAATTTTAATTCAATGGACAACTATTACGTGTCAATTGAATTTATACCATACTGATGAAGCAATTGAAAGTAATTCTTTACAATATCATTGTTTGAATTATCATGTTCATCGTGAGAAACCAGCTTATTCTAAATTGTTAGATATGGTTGATGAAGTCATTCCGTACTGTTTTCGTCCAGTACACTATTTCGAAGGATCACCCGAAACCTCTGTTCATCCGCTTTCTCAAAAACTAAGTTTCGAACAATTACGTCTGGCTCATACTACTTCAGAACAACTTCTCTCGTGGTCAATTTCGATTGATGTAGCTCAGCGATATCAACTCTATTTAATTGAACCAAATGCTGCATTTAATGAGGATCTGTATAATTGTACTGAACCGTGGTTTGGCCCTCGATGCCAATATTCGTTTCCTTTCGGCGGACGTAGATCTTTCAACCAAATTGTTGAAGCGGCTTTTCATCGAAGGACATCATTTTCCGAGTCACCTGAAGTTATAGTACAAATGTCATGCTATGTTCTTCTCGAATGCCATCGTAATGGACAGAGTTGGTGTCTTGATTGGCGTGAAGTGTGTAACGGAATCGTTGATTGTTTTGATGAAGCTGTCGATGAAGAATATTGTTTCGATATGGAGATAAACAAATGTGAGAAAAATGAATATCGATGCCACAATGGCTTATGTATATCAAGTGAACTTTGGGAAGAGGGTGAAGGTGGCGCAGACTGTCTTGATCGATCAGACGAAGTATTGGATGCCTTCTATATAGCATCCTGTTTCCAAGATCCAACATTCCGTTGTGAAGAACATTCTTGCAGAGCACATGAGGGTACATTTCCTTGTGGAGATGGCCAATGTGTCAACAAATTTGATGAATGCAATAATGGACGACACAGGTTACTGATTGAGTCGATGACAGCCAAAGGTAATCTAACAGATGAATGTTGGATTGCTATGATCTGCCTCACTGAACTCGTCGAGCAAATTCATGGAAACTCATGTAAAATATGGCTGATGAACGACACAATTTACGAGTTCCTCAAACAATGTAATTCGTTTTTCCAGTTCCCGACTATATCAGTTCATTCTGGTCATATTCGTTTCTTTTATGAAGAGCCATATTTAAGACAGAAAATGGATGAGTTTCTTTCACCTGATTATTTTTGCTACAATCAACAGCTATGTGAATTTATTAAGCCTGATTTAATTCGTGAAAATCTCACTTGTATAAATATGTCGAAATTAACGCTAAACCTGGATATTAAAACCGGACCTTGGAACGAACTAATGTGGTCGATCGAAGAAATGTTCCGTCCTTGTTTGATTTCTCATGCGATCTCAAGCAACAAAACAAAAACATATGTGGATCATTCGTTATTATATAACTGTCGCAATACATCGAACTTCATTTCGGTACATCGCATCATGGATGGTATACAAGATTGTTTCCATGATGATGATGAGAACTATCGGAACAGTTGTAAACTTAACAATCAATACAGAGTGAAATGCCACAACACAGATACATGCTGGTCCCCTGTGTGGAAACAGTACGCTTGTTCCATGACCGGAGAAGACGATAAAATTCCATTTCAACGTTTTTGTGATGGTATCAACGAATCCATTTACTACGATAATTCTGGACAATATTATAATGATGAGTTCGACTGCGAAGAGTGGTTATGTGACAATATATATGCACGCTGTGACGGCTATTGGGCATGTGCCGATGGACGCGATGAGAACAATTGTAGTCAAACAAAATGTCGTTCTGGAACTCACGCCTGTGTAGATCGTCTCAATTTTACAGTAATCTGCTTACCTCACACACGTGTTAATGATGGAGAAGATGATTGTCTTGGCGCATCAGACGAACAACACGAATGTCGAAGCATCTATCCTCCGAGCGAAGTTCCTGAGCGCTTTCGCTGCTTCAGGGATACAAAATGTTTGGTACCATCAGAATTATGCAACAACAATAATGATTGTCCGCTTCATGATGATGAAAAATTCTGTAAAACTCATCAGTTCAACTGTACCAACGATTCAACATACAATCGCAGTGAAATAGAAGAAGTTCTTTGTGGACTGAGTGAACAGAAAAATCGAAGAAGACAGTATTTTTCTGTTCATACATCGTCTAACTATCCTTCGTTAGAAAATAGTGTCGTCGATGAAAGTTTGTATTGGACAACAGAACGGCATTCTATCGAGAATGTCAATATAGATCACAGTGACGTTAATATATGGCCATGGTATTGTAATCGTGGACTTACTATTTATCTTCGAAGTGAAAATGATAGTTTTGATAATGTATGTATGTGTCCACCAAGTTACTATGGCCATTTATGTCAATATCAAAATCAACGTATTAGCCTTACATTGCACTTGAGCTCAGTTGATCGACATGCTACGTATGCTATTATTATTATGTTAATCGATGATAATGATGAACAACAAGAGATTACTGCATACGATCAATTTGTATACATCACAAAGGACAGTTGCAGTACTAAATTCGATCGATATTTATTATTTTCCACACGACCAAAAGACTTATCCAAGAACTATAGCATACGTATTGATGCATTCGAAAAAAACAGCATAACGTATGTTGGAAGTTGGCACTTTCCCATTACATTTCTCTTTTTACCTGTCAATCGATTAGCAATTTCGTTGATTTTATCAAATCATATTATTCAAATTTCGTCCAATTGTTTAATTACTTGCAACAATGGTACTTGTGTAAAGTATTTAAATAAAGAAAAATATTTCTGTCGATGCCACTCACAATGGACAGGCATTCAGTGCAATATCCCGATAAGTCGTCAAATGTGTTCAAACGATTCATTTTATTTAGGATCAGTAAACGATGAATTAATATGCGTATGTCCATTACATAAGTTTGGCTCACAATGTATGTTCACATCAGCATGTCCAACTAATATTTGTCAAAATAATGGAACATGTATACCAGCTGATGTAACTACTCCTGACAGCAGTTATACATGTGTTTGTCCTGATCAGTTTTTTGGTGTAAATTGTCAATATGCTAAGGTGAAACTCGATGTTTCTCTAATTGATATGCATATTCCATCGTATCTTGCCGCTTATTTCTTCACACTCTCGAATAAGTCTGATCCAATGCAGACAATTATACTCCGAAAATTGACACTATTTCAACACACCGCTACTTTCCACGTTTCAGTATCATTTCATATGGCAATTATTCAATCAAGTGGCAAATATTACCTTGCTGTACTTCAACAATCTTTACATACAAATATCACAACATCGATTCGCCCTTCACAGGAGTGTATTCCTGCCGAACAACTATTGAATTCCACAGTAATGAAAATGGTTCAGTATCGACGGATAATATTCTTCCATATTCTTTGTCACACACATACTGATCTTATGTGTTTCATTGATCCAGCCTATTTATGTTTGTGCACCAGTGATCGTCACGCTAACTGTATGGAATTCAAACGTGATAGAAATTTTCAATGTTCATTGACAAAAAATTGTGCAGATGGAGCACAATGTGTACAAGATCATCCGGTTTGTCCATCTACAAGGATTTGCATATGTCCCGCCTGTTTCTTTGGCGAGGAATGTCAATTTTATACCAAAGGTCTCGGCTCAACATTAGATGAAATATTGGGTTATGAATTAAAACGGAATACAATTTTATCTAAACAACCAATCACAGTAAAAGTGAGTGCTGCTATTACAATGATAATATTTGCCGTAGGACTCATCAATTGTATTTTATCAATAATGGTATGTCGTAGGCCAGCATCACAAAAAGTTGGTTGTGGAATATATCTTTTAGTTGCCTCATTTAATTCTATAACGATCATGATCTTATTTACACTTAAATTTTGGCTACTTTTTTTCTCGTATCAATTGGTTCACGAACATCGTACTTTACAAGTCATTCTTTTCGCAAATTGTCGAGTTGTTGAACCTCTTTTAAAAGTATTATTAAACATAGATAAATGGCTGAATGCTTGTGTATCTATCGAACGAATCGTTTCTGTACATCAAGGAATTAGTTTTAATACGGAGAAAAGTAAAACAATTGCCAGATATGCAGTGATAGTAGTATTTCTTATCAACTTTGGTGTCTATGTTCTTCCGATAATTAAACTTCATGTTTTTACTGACAACATAGAAGAACGAAGTTGGTGTGTCATTACGTATTCATCATTTATGCAAACTTACAACTTTACTTCAATTATGTTTCATTATATTGGTCCGTTAGCAACTAATGTAATATCTGCTATTACCATTATCATAATAACTGCTCGTCAACGTTATCGAACAGCTGCTAAGAGTAATCCAAGATTTAAAGACATCCTTAAAATAAAAATAAAACAATACAAACATCTTATAATTAGTCCCATTATTATCATATTTTTAACAGTACCTCATTTAATTATTTCATTTATTTTAAAATGCGACAAATCATCTCACCTACTTTGGTTCTATCTGCTCGGCTATTTCCTTTCATTTATACCGTCCGCATTTATTTTCCTAATTTTTATTCTACCAGCGCCAGTCTATCGAAAAGAATTCATGCAAATAATAGCATATATCCGTCGACGTTTTGATATAATGAAATTAAATGCTTCTGGATTATGATATATAACTGAAACGATATTCTACATACTACGACAAAAACTGTATTTGACGAAGTCGAAGACATAACAAGCTTTCATGAATTAATATACTTTATTCATGTTGTAGCATTAATATTCTTAATTAGCATATACTTTTAAAACTTGTTATTGTTTTGAACATTGTTGTAGAAATAAAAAATGTTGCTTGTTTAATATTTGTCGCAGATTCAGCTTGAGGGTGTGTGTGGGTGTGAGTGTGTGTGGTTTTGTTTCTTCATTATCCACACCCACATCTTCAGGATGGTGTTCAAATTCAAATATTTATTTTCGAAATGAAGGTAAAACCGACAACAGAAAAATACAAATAGGAAAAAGAGAAACACATAAGCACAGAAAACCGGTCGAAATATGATCGACTGAACAAAACTTAACAATGATGAATAAATGACATCAATAAAATATACAACAATATTCATAGAAAAGATGAAAGCGACGAACATGCGTAGAGAGAACGAAAGCAGAGAAGAGACAATCACACATCGTCACAACATTTATGCAGGAACGAAGAGTGTACTTCGTTGTTCAGAACTATAAAGAAATACACGCATCTTTTGTCTTCATATTTAAACATGAAAACTGCTAGTTCCAAAATGGCGCTTATGGCTGTTTACAAAGCACTCGTTTTCAATCTATTTTGTTGTATTCGATTGTTTCTGTTCACGGAGGTTACTTGTATTGTTCGTTGCTGACAATTAAATAAATGGATGAGTACACGGCGAAATAACTGGCTTGATAATGTGAACGTATAGAAACTCATGCATGCGCCACCAAAGGTTAGAAATGAGGTTACAGACGCAGCTAGACTAAGTCTGGCTGCTTGAAGAACATTCGAAACCTCATTACTTATTGCTGAAGAGTAAAAATAATAGAAGGAACTGGGCGTTCCTGTCAAAATGAAAAACATACATTGAATCATCATCATTTGCATCAACTGACGATCTGTTGCTTTTTGACGATGTTGCAATTGATTTTGAGTTGGAGTAGGAGTATTACTAGGTATCATTCGTCTCACAGATCGACGAACATTTCGAATGGCGAGTAATCCGAAAGTAAGCATGCAGACAGGTGGGCCCATACTGAATATAAATAAATTAAAAATGCCCCAAAATGTTGTGTAGGTTCCTGGATCCATGACACATCCTGATGCTGTGTTCACTCGATTATAGAAGGGCATATGTAAGTAAGCGAGACCAACAATCAAAATCGTCAGTGAAGTAGCAAAAGTAACTACACGAATACTACTCCAAGCCCGGATGGTAGCAGACGATGAACTGCACAAAAACCTAAGAAAAATGAGTTAGTTTTGTAAAAAAATTCAGTCAAAGTCAATTTTTAAACTGACTAATAAATATTGTTGGTTAAGTTCTATAGAGACTATTTTTTAAAAATACTAACTACATTTTCAATGAAAACAAATGAAGAACTTATGGTTTCGCATCGTATCAATTTTCTTAGAGAACTGATTCGATCTATTTTCGAAACGATAGTCGGATGCAGTGAAACTAAACGTTAGAAAATGATTGATCGAACTTTTATGACTGTTTTACATGTTTTATTTAATATCCATCTTGAGAGATAGTGAAGTAACAGCATTGAAGGTAGAACTGTCGCTGTACTTAGAATATCGAACTATCTTAGTTAATCGATTGTAATACTAACCGATCGGCACAAGCAAGTACGATAAACCATGATGGTAGAGCTCTAAAAAAGATACAAAGAAAATATTAATTTTTATATTGTACAAACATCTTCATTACTTGAACCAATTCAAGAGCCACACTAGAATTTTGCACATTACATTGGAACTCATAAAAACATCAATATTATATACAAATTGAAGAAGACGCAGAGGTACAGCAGTACATACAACAACTAGACCAGTCATTGCTGACGCCAAAAAATACCGTGAACATGGATTTGAATAAAGTGAGCGACGTGTAAACACATAAATACTTAATATATGACCGACAGTACCAAAAGAAAACATTGTAAAACACCAAACTTGAATAAACAGAATTTTACTATATTTAAGAGCATTAATAGCATCTAAATTAGTACTACTAGTAGTGTTCACACCCGATGAAGACATTTTGCTGTTGAATAATGATATACTAGAAAATACTTGGAATCGTCGTATTTTTATAAATAACGAGTGCGAGAACTAAAGAAAGAAAAAAAAGAGTAACGACGGTAAACATGATGTTAATAACATTATGACGAAAATCAACTGAAAAACCATAATATAACAAGAAAAAGGTTATTTTGAACAAAGACTTAAATTAGCAATAAGTTACTTTACTCATAAAATATACTGAAAGTAATTCTAAATTCTCACTCTTATCCTTGACCTTAAAAGTCTTTGATTAGAGTTTATGGAAAAAAATTGTCGTTCTCGAGAAAAATCTTTTCTTTAGTAAAAATATCAAATTCATAGATTTTCTATTATTTGATGACCTAGCTACTTTAACTTTGCTTTTTATAAACTAAAAGTACCACCTCTAATTTTGCAATGATTTGTGGATATCTTGTGTCTTTTAAAAATTTGAAAGTCCTTGCTACATATTAATTATAGTTTGAATGAAGAAAAACATGTTATGCCTGAAGTTGAAGTCGAAAGTACGTCATTCATCGACATCAATTGAAAATCTAATTAATTTATTGGAAGCCACAAGTTATAATATATAAATATAAATCCTTCTGGCATACACTTGCAGCTACTTTAATATTATTTTTTATGAAAGAAAAAATAATTAAGTTTGTCGACTACGTTTTAGACTTCCATAATAAGAAAGTAACAACTCATTGATAATCTCAAAACTAAAACACTCATGAACAGATACTCGAGAAAAAATGAATATTTTGTTTTTTTATTTAATTTAAATATATAGAATTATTGGCAATTCTAAATTTGACGTAATCACTTATTTGCCAGTCTGCTTTTGACATAAAGATAATGAACTTATTCTTCCAAGTCATTTTCTTTCTAAAAAAAAGTTTTTTATTGATGAATAAATATATAATACTCTACTAAAAATACTCGTCTTGTGATACGCACTCTCGTTTTTTCGCAGAATATCTAACAAAATACTTATGCAATAGCATACAAAAAAATTAACTGAGGATGTCTGCGAGGTGAAAAGAACACTCACACCCTGAAGTTAAAGCTTTTCTAAAATTGATTAATATTTGCTTATCATCAGTTGAATTTCATAATGTAGCAAAATATTTATTTTGCTCTTAGATCTGTATAATATTTAATGAATTAAATAGTATTATTTAATTAGAAAATGGCTGACTCCTCACTTTTGTGAGATCATTCGAAATTAAAATCGTAACAAACATAAATATTTATGACTACAATCATATGATAACAACGGGTTCTCATTCATTCACTCTTACTCTCAATCAGAGTAATATGTGTTCTCAACATCCTTTGATCCAGACTGCTATTAAAACCACTCCGCAAATGCATCATCAAGATCAGTGGGTCTGTTTATATTTGCTTCAGCATTAGCGACGTAGTCTTTAGAAGATACTATTTTATCGATAGTTTCAATCTCTTCAATAACTTCGGTAACCTTCTCATCACGACGACGGTAATATGCAATCGGATTTAAAATAGCTGCCAAGAGAAGAATCAACAATTCCATGCCGACAACTATAAGATAGGAGCTTGCAGCAAATGCATCTAAAGGAGGAGGTGCAAAACCTAAAAGATATATTATCAACATTGTTCAGAGAACACAGAAGTAAAATAAACTCGCCTAGAGAAGCAGCACTAAAGGCGCCACCCAGCATATCAATGATAATGAATTTGATTGAAAGTCCCACTACTTCTTTCCGTTTGATAATCTCCCAAATTTGTGGACTATGATAAATTAATAAAAAAGAAAGTTCTGAATTATTCATGCTAATAAAAAAACCTACAATAGAGCGCCGCCAAGAAGAACGGTCGCTATAATTCCAAACATCTTGATTGGCCATGTCACCCCATTTTTTATACCAGTCTACATAGATCAATGATAAAGGAAATTATATTAGAATAAATACAGTTACTCTTAGCGCATAGACACAGCCGACTTGTATTGAACATGAAAGAAAACAACATGCGACGATACATAAGATACAATACGTTTTTCGAACTCCACCTTTGTAATATAAACATTGTACCCACGAGATGCCACACAACAAGCCTTAATCGTAAAAAATAATTATTATAAAGGTGTGGGTATTGTCTTCATCTATTATACACCCAACACCCACCGTTCGATGAAGATGTAATCAACATACCACATAGTTCAGGTTGAATATGAAGAGGTATTGATAGTTCCTGTGTAATATTATAGATGCCCAAAACCCATAGTGAAATCATCCATGTAAACATCAACCAAGGTGATAGACCAGTTGTTGACTTCGCTCTCCATGATTTCCAGATTTGAGGTAAAATCTGTACACACCAAAGAACTGCACCAATCGTTGCTAAAGCATTTTCGACTGCACCATTTACCACCATTTCTAAAAACAAAATTCAAGTAAATTCAATGTAATGTTCAATATCTTCTTTTTTTCAGTCATCCATTAAAACTATATCCACATTTTGTAAAATTTTTTCGCTGATTATTTTAATTGAGACAATGTGCTATGATAGTCAAAATATGAGGCATTATAAAATCTTTATTATAGATGTATATAAATAAATTAAATTAAAATTTTTTATGATACTTTTGAGATGTACTGTAATATAGGCTGGATTACAAATATTATAATGATATTTACCGTTAAATAATGTTGAAGGAATATTGTCATGGAAGGAGGAGAAAATGCGAAGGGCGCACGTTTATACCGTTCTTTTAGTTAAACTAAACGGTAAGAAAGCAATCAGACTGAAGAGCCGTTAAACAATGGCTTTTTCTTAGTCATACACATAGTGAATGTAAACAAATAAAAAATCCTACATTAAAATCTAATGATTGCGCATTTTTGTCTGTCCTGTATTGCAGTGATCACCATTGCATAGATTGCTATCTGTTTCATCTTAATTGGAAAATAAACGATCTGTGTAGGTGATGTCTTTTTTTATTCATATGCCTGACAAATTTTACCTGTAACTATTAAATGAAGAGTGAAAAACAAAATAAATTAAATATCTGTCAGGTTACTGTCATCAATACTATTCAATCATTATACATGCATCACCATATTTCATGGATGCGGGTGCAATTGTTTGATAACTAACCCACACACTTTTTATTTGTCACATATAATGATAATAATATGTACATACGCACCTGTGTCCACCATCTTGAGGGTGTGGGTGTGGATGGAGTAAGTTATAACCCAAACCTATAACTATATTCCTCCAGACATAAGATGAACGATCGTTGCATATTTATATTTAGATAGTGATCTTAATAAAAAGTGAACAAACTGTGTTGTCTAAACATTAAAAAATAAATTATGAAAATGTAAGACTATTTTATTTTTGTAAGATTATAAACAAAATAAAGACAACAACTATATAAAAGTCTTGTGTTTGATAGAAATGACATTTATGATACGGGAAATCTTTGTACTCTGTTATTGTAATAATCAGCAACGTAGACAAATGTTTCGGTACTATCAAGAAAAACAGCATAGGGTCCATTAAGAGCATACATACTGGAACCAGAAGTACCATTTGAATTGCCTGCAATAGTTATTCCTGTCGATGCACCCATCGGCCATTTTTGTATGCGATGATTGAGTGTATCAGCTATATAAATCGTACCATCATTTCGAGAGACACAAACACCTGCAGGCCCATTAAGTTTGTCAGCAGTTTTACCGGATACTCCATTTATACCTGCAACAGTTTGTGCAGGCAAACTATTATTAAGAAATATCTTAAGTATACGATGATGTAACGTATCAGCGACGTAGATAACCATATTATCTTCATCAAGATAGAGATGTCGAGGTTGGCTCACTAATGATGAATCAGCTACAAGCCTTGTAGCACTAGTGCGGTTCACATTCCATACAGTAATAAAACTACAGCTCGAACTTGACACATACATATTTCCCGAACTATCAATAGCAATTCCATATGCATCGTTGAGAGAAATAGACCAGGTACAAGTCGACGATGCAATTGGTGGAACACTAATACCACTTGGTTGACTTATCACCTGATATTTAGTACCCCAAGTCACATAAAGATTCGAAAAGCTATCTATAAAGAGGCCTTGTGGATGACTTGTCAAACTAGAAACTGTAGTGCCTATTTGAGAGCCAGCGGGGAAAGCTTGAACACGATTATTATTCCAGTCGGCCACGAATAAGGTTCCATTATCGTTCAAAAAAACATCGAGCGGTCCATTTAGTGTCTGATTTCCATTGCCTGCTACACCATTCGCACTGCCGGCAACTGTCATTCCAGGGTATATCGTCGTTGCTAAAACAAATCCTTAAAATTATTCAATTGAATAATAAATTTATAAAGATATTATTAGTAACTATTTCGAATAACTACGTTTTCATTCATTAATTAAAAACATATAACTTAGATTAACTCAATTCCTAATTTCAGCAATGTTAATAGTTTTTTTTGTCAAGGCACGCCACATATAGAACGTTGCTATTATTGTATTACATCTGAACAACATCAAAGAAATTGATAGATTCAACTAGAATATGTTATATTTACCTTATCATAAATACAATCTTTGAAAAACTTACATCGACATAACAATCCATTTCGGTAGATGACGATTCATATTGGATTTTATGAACGATTGATTAATCCTACTATTCTTTTATTACTATTTTTCGGATGTCTTGTTCACGAAAAAAATTAAGTTATCAAGCAAAACTTACATACGAAAGTACAAAAACCTATACACATAATATAATCTACCATATGAAGTCGATTGCGCTACTGCAGATCTAATGGGATTTTCCTTAATTATCTTCTTTTTTTTACGAACAGAACAAAAGAATGAAGTTATATCATCTGAAAGATATGATCAAAAGCTATGTTTAAGAAGAACCCTTTGAGTTTAAGATAGATAGATAGATAGATAGAAATAATTAACTACCTGTTGTCGTGTTTGTCGATGGAGGTTGTTGGATAAATATAAAGTCTGAATCAAAATTATTCTGTATGATTGATGACGAGGAATAATTGGTAAATAATGTACATGTTTTATTACTTGTGAAGCAGTTCAATCCAACATACAATGAAAATGTATTATAGAAGAATGCATAGCAAACACATTCAGAACATGTATCTTTGTATGTTATTTCAATACTGACATTGTCTGATGTGTACATTGCATTACGAATAGTACCGATACGTTTGCTACAATCGATATTGATAATAATGTTTAGAAAAATCATGAAAAAACTTGTTCGTATCATTTTTATCAATGTAATAATATTGAATTGATGATTGATATCACTTGTTATTATAATAAAACAGAATAAGAGTAATATATCTTTTATATTGTTTTTCTTAATGTATTCATAAATACACTTTATTTAAACTATCCATCATACTTCAACCGTTTTTTCAATTTATAAATTTCTGCTCAATGAATGACGTCGATGGTAACACTTTGGCTATTGAAAAATATATTATTCTCTTTCAATTAAATTCTTAAAAATAGCAAATACACATTGAGGTCGCACAGTAAGTTGAAGTTATCTGTAAACAACAGTTCCTCATATAGAGTTCACATTCTTTCAACCACAAAAATATCAATATTCTTTGATTATTAGGATCATGTGTAAAACTAATTGAGTATAACCTATCAAGATTGATATTATTTTAATAACAATATTTGTTACACTTTTTTCTTTATAGACTATTTCCTTTGCTTTTATAGAAAATCAATGAGAAGATCTATCGAGATGCCACAATCGTCTATGTTTATAAAGGACAAATGACGGTAAGGACATTTTTTCGCCCCATTCATTCAAGAAAAAAAAACAATTTGTTTTTTTCATTCTAATTTCTTCTAGATATAAGTTATTGACTATGCTGATCACGAATTCAATGTTTGTTTTGCATAAAAAAGTGATTTAAATGAAAAATGGTCTATTCTAATAAAGAATATTCTTTTGATCCTAGTTCTGAAATCACTGTCTTTCAACTCAAAAAATCAGTTTATAATATCAATAACACTTTATATACAAATCGACGCGGTTTTTCATGTTCTATCCGAATATAAAAGTTACAGAAAATAGTCAAAATTGGAAAAAACCTCATAAAATCAGATTATTTTCATTTTTTCAACGTATTTTACACTTAAAAGTAATAAGCTATCGATGAGTTACTTTTAACAAAATCTTTATTTATTTATTTTTTCGTTCTTTTTTCATAAAAAATTGTAAAATTAATAAAGAATAACATGCTATTGTTCCAATGAATTCACTCAATTCTCTTGCTATAACAAAATAATTTTCAGTGTTTTTATATTGATCAGTAGATGATGATAATGTAAATGTTTGATTTTTTTGATGATTTTTAGTATTTTCTTCAATTAATTGTTCAAATCCATAAACAAAATATTCAAATACAACACTAAGTATTGAAAAGAGAACCAACATCCATAGACAAAAACGACTTAATTTTGAATATTTCAAATCTAACATATCCGTATAACTTGCTGAAAGAAATTTATATAACATAAAAAATGTTACCGAAGTTGTTGTTATAGCTTCATGTGTACCAAAAATAGGAATGAAGATGATTAGCATTTCTGTCATCATAGCTATCAATTCAAAAATACTTTGAATAGTAATGATGAACATGTGTTGACGATAACCTTTGAATTTTAAATATCCAATAGTAAAAATATAACTTGTATCGAGAATTGCATAACATACAAAGGTATACATCATAAAGGGACGATGTAACATTGTATGATAATAATAAACATATATGATATCACCAGTAAATACAAGTGACCATATTAAAAACTGATAGAGAATATAAAGACGAGGATGAGTTAAATTGAATTTTACATCATATTGAAGATAATAAAAGAGAATTAAAACCGTAGAGATAAGACCAGCATAATTCTTCTGTTTATCATCGTCAGACTTGTGAAAGATAATGTGAAGGATAGAATCAGCAAGCATGGCAATGGCTGATAGAATAGGAAATATAATACCTGAATAAAAAAAAATGTGTAGAAGTGGAAGTACTTGCATATTCGATTATACTTAAACTGTTCACGTACCCAGTATATTGACTAATGGTAGATTATGAATTGATCTGTCCACTGTAAGCTTCTTTTTATTATCTTTACTGGTCTTTGAACTATGCGAAACTTGTTCTACATCATCTTCTTTATCGAGTAATAAATGTTCTTCTTCTTGACGTGAAGTTGAAGGTGCAGAATTTGATTTTTGAAGGTTAACATTCGTTAGTAGTTGATCAATACTTTTGTCCTGTTGAAGTAATTTCTCTTCTAATTCTTTGTTTACATTTTCTAATCGATCAACTTTAGCTTGTAGAGAGTGGAGGATAGTTTGAATGTTGTTGTTAATTTCTTCACTCATTGAAGACGTTTTATTGTTTTAAAAGATAAAGATATGAAGCGTTCGTCCAAATACACGACTTACTAAATGATAGAATATAAACTATTTCTGACCAAAGAGTACAGAAAAAAAAATTGCGTCGCTCACATACTTCTTCTATGTGGCTGTCGTGTCTTTACACGTGACGTTCGGCCTTCATATCGTTGCTACTACTTCTATTAATAGAAAGAAGAAAAAAAAAGAACAGAACAAAAAATAATCGTAAGGAAGAGAAAGAAATATGTAACCGCAAAAAAAGCGGAGTACGTGCTGTTGTTGATAATACTGTTCTGTGTTTCTTTGAGACTCTATTAGAATATTCCAGACAATTTTGTTCTGTGTTTGTGAAGGAATGCTGTAATCATTTGAGGAATACAACAAGTTAACGAAAAAAAATATAACGAAATTTTGAACAATAAAATTTTAATTGTACGAAAATAATATTTTTTTTTTCATTAAAGATATCGAGTAAAAAGAAGATGAAATAAGAAAAAACTAATGAATGTATTGTAACTGAGTATAGAAAAAAAAAATATACTTTAATAAATAATGAAAGATAATTAAAAAAATCTACCAAAGTCGGCATAAAATGAGTTATTTGATTAACAAATTTATCATTATGAAAATAAACAATTGAATCGTAATTTATTTCATCCTAGAATAAATGAAAGTCATTCTGTCCTTCTTATTTAGATGGTTTGTTCTTATAATTATTAATTTTTCTTATAGAAATCAAAATTTTTTGTATATACAATCAGTGTTTAATCTATAATCTTCTGCTATGTTGATATTCTCGGTAGATTTCATCAGATAATGATGATGAATAGCGCAATACACTATCTAGATATATTCACATAAGATTCTACAAGTAATAGTTGACTATTATTTGTTGTGAAGATTAACTTATTTTAATTAGTTTCTTCGATCACATTTATTTTTTAGAAATTATCTATCGTCATTTAGAGTGTAAACAATTATTATGTCATTATTATACATTAGTCAACAAGTGACAATTTATCTTGGATTCTTTCTTCTTGTCGTCGGTGTGATTGGAAATGGAATAAATATTTTAGTATTTTCAAGTGTTCGTACTTATCGTAAATCACCTTGTACATTTTATTTTCTTATTGCTTCAATTATCAATGTGATTTATATAATAATTAATCTTATTTCTCGTATTGTTAGTGCAGGTTATGGAATTGATTTGACTCGTACATCATCAACTTGGTGTAAAGCTCGACAATATCTCATTGGTGTGTTCAGTTTAATTTCAATTACTTGTTCATGTTTAGCTACAATTGATCAATTTTTACTTACATCTAGAAATGCTTATTTGCGTTCTCTAAGCAATATCATATTAGCACATCGCATTGTATTGATTGTTGTCATTGTCGGTTGCATTCATACAATACCTTGCTTGATATTCTTTGATATTTCACCAGTTACAAAGACGTGTGTAAATATTAATGCTGTTTATAATTATTATGTAATAATATATGTTCTAACTGTTACTTGTATGATTCCAGTTATTATAATGATTATATTTGGATATTTGACTTATCGTAATATTCATTTAACAAAAGTTCTTGCTCAACAACAAGCTGATCGTCAATTGATACGAATGACTTTGATTGAAGTTGTACTTGTTGTATTTACTATTACTCCATATGGTATAAATAATGCTTACAGTTTAGCATCAGTTGGAGTAGCTAAAAATGCTGATCGATTGATGAGTGAATATTTTGCTTCGACAATGATCAGTCTATTGACTTATTTTTACTATGCGGTATGGTTAGTCATTTAACGGAGATTTTTATTGATTTATTGTTTTCTTTTTAGGGAAGTTGTTACATGTTTTTTATTTCGTCAAGTCGTTTTCGTCGAACAGTGAGAGAGAAAGTTTTCTTTTGGCAACGATCAAACCAAGTACAACCACTGCAACAGGTCACACTCACAGTTGGAATAACGACATTTCCAAATAAAATAAACAATTAAGACATCTTATGAATATATATATTTAATTTCTTTTCATGTTGAAATAAAATTCAATGTTGTGACATTAATGTAAATTCTAATGAACATATTCACATAAATCAACTGAGTTTTGACTAATAATGCAAAATTAATAATTTGCACATGAATGATATATTTACAGAGCATCTTAATTCTGTTGTTTGTCTAATATTCTACATCAATAAGCTCTTACATCTTGAGGATCTGGGTGTGCGTGTATGTGGATGTCGCTGTGGGTATCGAAAGTTATATACTCCCACACCCACACCTATCTCAGAGATGATCTAGATATCCTTTAAAAATTTATGTAAGGCTGATCTTGCATCTCTTCAAAATGAATTAACATAGCGGTAATTGACCATGTTGAGTCGGGTTGTGATGATGACTTGCTCTTCTAGAATGATCTCAGGTCTCTTATGTCAAGATCTTCAAAATTTCAAATTCCTTCAGGGTGTGGATAAAGAAGACGTCTACTCTCCCAAGATAAGCTGGTTTTGTCATATTGATAGTGTGATTTTTTTGGTTCGTTTCATCGAAATTTATTCTTTGACAACGAATAAGTCTTTAATTTTTTTATCGTTGATCTTTCAGTATTCTTCTTTCTTCTTCCGACAATAATCTTGAAAGGCCATATTTATTTCATAGCATAGTATTTTTTTTTTATTCTCCTGTAATAAAAGTCTATTGAGTCGCGTAAAAGAATTTTGTTGGTAGAATAAATTTCAGTATTCAAGTGGTAAACGATTAGACAAGTGGATATTATTTTTTCAACTACAGTAAGAAATACGTTTGTAAGATATTTAGTGGTTTTGTCTGCACCGAGTAGTCATTTATACTGTATTATCTTTTCTCTTCAACATGAATAACATAGCAATTGTTATTTTTTTCATTGTTGTTCTATTTGATCTTTCTGTTGCGATTGCACAGACGATCATTGGTTTTCGACATCGGAGCGTAAAGACCACGTGCACTGATGGAGTTCGCTTGCATCTTATAGGATCTGGCGTATCTGAAATTATCGCAATTGTTTCTTTTTTATGGGCTACATATATACTGAAAGTGACAAAACAATACAAAATTACTACAACCACCACTACAACAACATACGCAAATGGTCGAAAAGAAGTGAAAGTTGAGAAAACATCGCAGAGAAACACCGCGTTAGGTAAGTACTTTGCATATAGAATGTTCTTAATGTGTGTGACGATAGAATTACTGTTATTTTCACTGTACAAAGACGTTGTTTTTCATCTATTTAGTTCTATGAATTTTGAGGGGCAAGTACAACTTAAATTGATATATATATATTCGATGCAGGGCGTATTAGTGTGAATGAAAGTATGAAGTATGTCGATAAATGATATTCTTGAACGGATGATGAAAATACTTTTTTTCGTCCATACCTATCCTCATATCTTTATTATGTCATAGATTTTCTATAAGAATGATCTACATCTCACTATAATATTATTATTGATTAATAAATGAAAAATATTTTCTTAGGACTCATGGCTCTTGGATATGGAGCAGCGATAGCTTTCTATGTATGGGGTGTTTTTTTTATCTTTGTCCCATACAAGGAAATACAATATGCTGACATAAATGCTGAAAATTACTGTCAAAAAGATGTGTTTCAACCTGCCTTTATCATGCTGATTATTAGTAGTGTTATGGCCATACCTTTTATCGCTGCACTTCCTTATATGTTTTGCTGCCTCTGTTGTGCTAATTTTGTAGAACAAAAATAAATAATAAGAAGACAAAGAAGAGTGTAGCGAGAGTCGGTTTAGACAAGAGAATGCAAAAATTGACATCAGCGAATTGTTTTATTTGTCCACCACAATTTATACCATTTTTGAAAGAATATGTTCATGATTTCGTCCTTGCTTAAGGATTATCAGAAGAATATTTGATTCACTAATATTTTAATTAGTGCTGGTAGAAATGTCGTAGGAAATCAATTCAATTCTTGCAAAGAGTTATTAATTAATTTTTCCAGAGGAAGTCCATATGTTATTGATATAGAAAATCCTCTTCAAGCTGTAGGTGTTGATAGTTATATCTTTCTATATTTAGAAGCACATTTTCTTCGATATATAATAAATACATCAAGTATATTTATCTACCTATATGTGTAAAAATTTAGCAGTTACTCAGATATCACATATTTACTTTTGTATAATAATTCAAAATGTCGATATATAGTGAATACATCAAATATATTCATCTACCTATATGTGTAGGGTGTGAGTGTCGGTGCCTCTTCTTAACAACACCAACACCTTCAAATATTTTAAGATTAAACAAAAATTTTCATTAAGCAAAAAACTTTTTCTTTTCCAAGGAGAAAAATCAAAAAACAATTTCATAAAATCTTTACAAAGGAATTTGAAAATTTCTTCTCTAAAAATATTTAAATAAACGAGAAATTGTTTATTAAACAACTGAAATTTCGAATTTATTTTTTCTCTTCAATTTTGATTTTTTAATAAAATGAAACAAATTTGATTTTTTGTTTATTTTTATTTTAATGAACTCTTTTTACTTTTTTTTAATATTTAAATGTAAGAAGAATTTTTTATTTTAAAAAGTCGATTTTCTTAATCTAGTTTTTCGATTTTACAGACTTCATTCTTATTCATTTATCTTTTTTCTTCTCTCTTCCCTTCCTTTCAAAAAATTATAAATCACAAAAATAAATCGAAGAGAATTTCTATTTACAAGTTTTTTTTATTAATTTAAATGTTTTCCTCAATCTGAAAAATCTTTTATTTGATTTTTCTATAAAATGAATTTTCTTCCAAATTTTTTTATTTTATTTTGGTTTTTTAATTTAAAATTAAAGTTCATAAATATCTATTTGTCTTTTTTCTAAAAATGAAAAACAAATTTATTTATTTTTGTTGAACATTTCCCATAAAATAATGTTTTTTATTTATTTTCGAAAATAAAAATCCAAATTTTATCAAATTAAATTAAAAATATTTTTAATTTCAAAGTTTTTCATATTTCTGGATTCGCTGATTATATTCGTCGGCAGCATAAAGATTTTCTTCATTATCAAATGATAAACCTGTGGGACCATACAATTGACTTGATTCATTCCCTTCACCATTTCCACTAACAAGAATTTTACCTTCTGCATCTTCTTCACACCAACGCATTACTCGATTATTCACACGATCGGCCACATAGATTTGACCTAAATGATCAACAATCACTCCTCGAGGAAAAGATAATTGTTTAAGACTATTTCCTTGACCATTTCCACCTGCAACTAGTTCACCTTTTATATCTCCTTGTTTCCATCGTCTTACTTCATTATTCATCAAATCAGAAACATAGATAAATCCATTTTTGTCAATTGTCAGACCATAACAAACAATATTTGAAATGATAATGTGTTGATTTTGATCAAAATATCGAATTACTCGGCCGTTTCCAGCATCAGAAACAATAAAAGAATTATTGTTTTTATCGAAAATTAAATCAATTGGATCATTCAATTGATAATTTTGATTTCCTTTTCCATTTCCACTTGCAATGATTTGACCAGTATTTGAATTCGATTTCCACTTAACAATACGATGATTTTCAGTATCAGCAATATAAATTGATTTATCATTCTCAATAAAGATCCCTTGAGGACCATCGAGCTGATTCAATTTCTGTCCTTCACCATTTCCTCCAGCAACAGTAGTTGCAAATTGTTGAAATTTAATCTTTTTTGTTTGAATTTTTTCTAAAATAAAAGATTTTCTTTTTTTTAAATTTAATTTTTAATGAACAAAACTAATTTTAAATAATTTTTTCTTTCAATTGAGATTTTTCAATTAACAACTCTTAATTTGATTTTGATAAAAGTTTAATATCGAAAAATCGTCTTTGAATGAAAATCGATTAAAAATTTCTGTTTTTTATTAATAAACTAAATACTTTTTTATTTAAAAGTTCTAAATTAAAGAGTTAAACTTAACTTAAATTTATAGAACAATTTAAAAACAAGGTAATCTTTTCATTAAAATATTAAAACAGAATTTTCAAATGAAGAAAATCTAAAAATTCTGTTTATTGCGAGAAATTTCTCTAGATTTGAGTTTTCTATTAGAATAAACCTGGTAAAAAATAAAGAAAGTAATGATTGTTTAAAATATTGTTAATTGATTTTTCAATTAAAATATCTTTATATATATATTTGACGTTTGACACTGTCTAATAAACTGATTAACCTTTTTCATAAGTAATAATTTTGACGCATTGCTTTCATATTGGAATAGTTTGACAGATCTCAGTATATCCTCAAAATACAGATTCAAATCATTTAGATATGAGGTATTTATAGACTTCTTTCTCGATCTTATATTTATTCATTTTCAACACTTGAAACTTTTCTCTCTAAATCTCCAATTAATTTAATTCCTAAATGAGACATCATTACTCTCGTCGTCAAAATTAATTTGTAGTCGGATCAAACTTGAAAAAATACTTCACCTAAACTTCGTTTTCTCTTTTCCCGAAATGAAATATTTGAACAAACATACTTAATGATGAAATAACTAAAATTTTCCTGATAAATTCTTGTGAATCTTCTTTGATCGAAATATTTGATGGTGTGAGAACTTCTCACTGAGAAGTTCTTCTGTAATATGTTTTAATTTTAATTGGAAATGATTTAAATCAATTTCATTAAATTCATTTTCTTGACGAATTTCTTTTAATTTCTGAGATAATTCAGTAAACTTTTTTTCAATATTATCGATTGACTTTTGTGTTAATTTCATCGTTGTTTCTCGACATTCTTTTGCTGTTTGTTGAATTTGAAGAATAGAATTTGCTTCCCATTGATTAATTTGTTGAATTAAAGAAGAATTTTGTTTTTGTTGAATAATTGTTTGTTGAAATTGATCGTGATCGTTGATAATTTCATCTAATTGTCTATTAGGAATTTGTCGATGTTCTGTTAAATGTTGAAAACAAAAATCATTTGAACATCCACGACAAATATATGTCGTGTTTCCTTTATTACAGATAGAACATTGTACTCTAACGTTTGCTGTTGCCATGTGTTGAAGAATTTAAAAAAGACATGAATATTTGTTATCACATTGTCTGTATATTTATTTATACAAAACAATATGAGTCAATGTCAATAAATATCAGAAGGTAGTAAAAGAACGAAGAAAATCTTTTTCCCATAGATAAGAGATCTTCATGATGAAAATAACTTTAATATTCATTTGACATTGAATAGATGCCGATAATCTATTCAATTCTCTTTACTTCATTGATCAATTCAATACTCTTAGACATGATGATCAAAGGTTTTTCTTGAAGGGTGTGAGTATCTCTTCTCTTAATGCATACCGATCCTACATCCAATCTCAAGATATCTTCATCAACACTTCCAATAAAATGCCTGAAATGCGAGTGCGGGTGTAGGTGTGACTATCATGTTTTTTTCAACAGCGTCCACTCATACCCACGCTCTCAAGTATGTTACTGATGTTCAAACGCAATGGTGGGTGTGACTGTGACTATTCGAAATACTGCATATTCACATCCATACCCATACCTATATTCATACTCTCGAATCATGTGTCTGTAACTTATATTGCGCCTGTACTTTTGTAACGCATATTTTAAAACCATTTATTTTTTCATTAGATTCACAAAAGAATATTAAAAACAAAATGCTATTAAAAAATTATTTGAACACACAATTTTTTAGTTTTCTTTGGTAACAAAAAGTTTGGGTGTTGTTGAGAGGATAATTTCAAATGTTTTTTTTTTGGAAACGAATAATTATAAGCATATACTTGAACGTTGAGTTAGAATTCGATACTTTAATACTGAAATATGACGGACATAGTCTGACTTGCAGCATTACACGTCAGACCATTTATTCCACCCCAGTTAATATTGTCAATACATGGCCTTACTATATACCCGGGATTCTGACACTCATTGGGATCACCACTAGCGCTCAATTTATATGCTTTTGAATGTGCACTTGTATTAACTGCCCATGAACGTCTGTTTGACGTCACTGGTCCATATACTGATGAAGTTCTCAAAGCCAATGCTATCTTTGAAATAACAGTTGGATCAAAAACAGAGACGCCTACTGAATCGAGTGAGCCATTTATTTTTAAAAGCCTATAATTGTGTTTTGTTAATTGATCTATAAAATTTCTCCACACTCTACATTGACTTGAAGCGATGACACCTGATTCAAAATCTTGAGAATATCTAATTGTTGTTAAAGTTGTTGTTGTTGTTGATGATGTTGATGTTGAAGTTGTTGTTGTTGTTGATGATGTAGTGGTTGTTGTTATTGTTGTTGTTGTTGATGAAGTTGTTGATGATGTAGTGGATATTGTTGTTGTTGTCGATGAAGTTGATGAAGCTGTTGATGATGTAGCTGAAGTTGTTGTTGTTGTTGAAGTTGTTAATGTAGTGGATATTGTTGATGATGTTGTTGCTGTTGTTGTTGATGAGGTTGTTGATGATGTGGTGGATGTTGTTGTTGTTAATGATGATGTTGTTGATGAAGTTCTTGATGATGATGATGATGTTGTTGTTGATGAAGTTCTTGATGATGTGATGGATGTTGTTGATGAAGTCATTATTGATGATATTGTTGATGTTGATGTTGTTGTTATTGATGTTGTTGTTGATGATGTAGTGGATGTTGTTGCTGTTGTTGACGATGATGATGATGATGTTGTTGTCGACCTTTTTGTTTTTATTGTTGTTATGGTTGTTTGTGTTATAGGTTTTTTCGGTGTCGTTGAGGATTTAATTTCACTCTTCTTTCCGTTTGGCATAGTTACATTATAAAAAGATGCCTGTTTTATTTGATCTTCCGTTATTTTAGCACCTGTCATATCACTGTTTGAAAAGTGTGCACCTGTTAGATTTGCACCGTTAAAACTAGCACAAAGTAAAGATGTATCATCAAATTTCACGTTATCTAACCGGGCTCCATCAAATGATACACCATTTAAACTAACAGATGAAAACTCCCCATTTGACATTGATACCTGATCAAAAGAAACACATTGTAAATTCAATTTATTTAATACACCAGTTTGACTTGCTAGACGTGTATTATCCAAATTTAACTCATTCAAACGGATTATGTCAACTAAATTTGTTGTCTTACATCCATTCGTACAATTATTTCTGCCAATTAATTGTTTTTCTTTCAAAAATTGTATAACATCTGCTTTGCGTATTGTATCCCATTGACGATCAGCAGCACGATAATATGCATTGGCAAATGCCCATGGATTTTTTCTCTCCTTCAGATAACCATAATAATCTAATTTAAAAATGTTATTTAAAAATTCATCATAAAGTGTTTGTTGTCTTAATTGTGTTGATTGTTTAAAATCAAACTTTTGTTTTTTCTCATCTTGCTGTTTTTGTTGTTCGGACCCAATTGCAGTATAAATAGCAAGAGCTATAGGTATAGCAGCTGAACATAGAATAGTTAATATGTCTTTAAATGTAAAATGCCAAAACGCTCGTTTATTAAAATCTACCATTGCCTCAATCTGATTTTAGAATGAACAGTAAAATATTGTGATGTGCTCGAATATAAAGAAAACACAAATGCTATACTAATAATTAGTGTTTTTCTCTTATTTAACAACATATTAAGTAACAGTTTTAATTATATTTCATGAATCAGTGTTCTGATTTTTCTAGTAGAAGATATCCTATCTAAATAATTTCGTTAAAGTCATGGCAAGCACTGCGATGTATGATATTTTCAAAATCAGATTTCACAAAAAAAAATAAAAGAAATGAATAGGTAATTATTCATTACAGACACAACGATAATTAGAAAAATAGTTTCTTGTTACTTTCAGTTTACTGAATATTGAATTTGATCTACAATAACAAAAATGTACAAATACTGATAAATGATAATCGTTGGAGACGATGAAAAAAGAAAACTAATTCTATTGATTTAAATATCGGACATTTCTTCTTATGTCTACATACGATACAAAATCATAGACCTTAATTAATTCTCCGAAATAATGGAAAATATAATTTGACGGTAACTGTGATATGATCTGGTCATATCCATTACAAAGTTTTACAAGAAAAAAGAAAAGAAAAGAAATACTCTAGACTTGATGAATGATTTTTTTAATTGAATCCTTTGTTTCACACAGACAGTTCTGAATAAATATTTTCCTTAGAAGTATTTTATATAAAAACCAAACTGAGGGTGGGTGTGGGTTAGAGTTTGAATGTCTACTGAGAAAGGAGATACCCACACCCATACCCACACCCACACCCACACCACCTCAAGATTAAGTGCACGAAAGTTGATGAATCTTTCACTTTTATGAATCCACAAAGTGATATCTGCCTTTGAATATCTTTCCAACGATTAACCAGATTGTTTTGATCCGCTATTTGATTATTCTGAATTTTTTTTGAATGGAACTGCTATCACTTAAATCGTGAAATGTTGCAGACACCATCATTAGCATTAATAATATTACCGAGGACAAGATTTTTCTTTGTTTGTGATGTTTTTGTTATAATTTAAATTACTATAGGATGGCATAACCGCATTGTCCATCGAATTAAAAAGAAACATCCTGATATCTGTCACTTCATTCAAGTTCTTCAAAAGGAAGAGATTTATGTAAATCAAACTATTCAACACGTGAAGATAAGAAAAATAAAGAAAAACGATGTTAGACTGAAAAACTTTCACTTTTGATTGCTAAAAAAAGTAGTAATTGTATACATGGCCTTGATATCTATTCATAAATCTTGAGATATTTTGTTATTGTCATTCATCTCTAAGATGTATTGTGTGATGTTTAGGTTACTTAAATAAAATTTTCTCTAAAAATCAACTTGAAGTTATTGGTTATTTGCCTTTTTCTGGCCTCTCTGTTAGTGTTTAGTCGACGAAGTATCTTATTGGCAAAGTGACGTGCCAACAAAATTATGAAACGATGAACTAGCCACAATGAAATAGATACACGTTATCTATTATCATGAATCACAATGATATGAGACGTGTTAGAGACAAACTTTCACATAAATAACACCTGTGCATCATTACACTTGGATATTTGTGTTGACACTCTTGATAAGTAAAACATATAATTTCAAGATAACAACAAAATTCTAACAGTAATTCATCTAAATGCATTGAATATATAATGTTTTTGTCTTTTAGAACTAATCATTGTTTTTCGTCGATATATTGCGACATTCTTTCTCAATCTTGCAATGCACATTATTTTTCATGTATTATTAATCGTTGCCATATTTACATTCAGTATCCATTGTCAAGGTGGTGGAGGTAGTAGAGGTAGTGGAGGTAGTGGAGGTGCTCGTTCTGGCAGTAGTAAAGATTTCATTGATTTCATTTATCTATTATGTATGTATTTTAGTTAAATAATATCTTAATCTAGTTTCGGAAAAAAAATTAACTTTGAAAACTGACATGATTGAAAAAAATACATTTTTTTCAAATCAATATTTGAAATTTATTTTCTTTCTTTTAGACAAAATATTTGATTACGAGAACAGGTTTGTCCGTGAAAAACAAATCATTGAAAAGTCAAATGAAGAACAAGTCGTTAAAAAATCAGATGAATATTATGGCACTGTTCTACTTTCATTAGCAAGTATACTTCTTGTAATGCATATTGTAGAATCAATATACATGTGGATTCAATCGAATAATACATCGCAACCGTCAAATGTAACATTCGTTAATGAAGTTGATTCAACTGACAATGAGACTAATGTGAAGAGCTCGGACACTCTTTTTTCATCAGGTCAATGAACGAGTCGTTATTTTCAATATAAACAATGGCATGGACCTCATCTTTTTTCTCTTTCCTTCAATCACAAACAACAAAAAGTCACAGGTTTGGGAAAAGACGATGTCAGTGAATTTTCTATCGATGGTATATATTCGCTTAATACTCGTCGAATTGCTCTCACAAAAAAAATATCAAAAAGGTACAGGAAATTCATCACAGAATTTGGGACATACAGTGAACATCCAGCTTGAATGGAATTTAAAAGAACGCTTATTTGATGGTAAATGGTATGTCACAACGGAGAAATATCAGGGTCAAGGCAAATTTCAACTTCAATTTGATGAATCAACGACAGTCGTAAAATAAAAAATAAACATCGAAGATTATTAAGCACTTATATGTATACATTTTTCAGAAATTATATTTTATTAAAAAGAGAAAATATTTGCAGACACCATCTTGAGGATGTGGGATGTGTGTGTGGTTGAGAAGAGAAGAAGCGATCAACACCCACATTCTATGACTACTAATCATCGTCAAGACATATAAACGATAGGTTTCTTTTCTTCTTTTCTATCGAAAGCCCGTTCTACCAATATACCTTTCTAAATACAAAATAATTAAGATCAAACTAACGTATGATATAGCTATCATAACAAACATATCAAATATCAATTGATCCTATCAATTATATCTGTATGAAAACAATAAAGAAGATTAAAAACACCTACAGATAGTTACCGTTTTTATCAATAATCATTTGTAAAGCAGTTGAAAATGGTAAGTCTTAACGTTAGTAAAAGTGTTTTCTTGGTCTAATGATATTGTTCTAGCTAAAGTCCGTAATAATTAGTTTGGCATTGGTGATTGTTCTTTGTCACGCAAGACTTCGAATAGATAACGAATGGTTAGGTGGTTTTAACGCAACTTTAGAGATTCCCATCGATTATAACACCAGCAACGGTTGGAAGGTTGAATTACAATTTAATCAGTCGATAACAATCGATGTAAGTAAAACTGAGCTCGTATTGTACTATGTTTCAAATAACGACTGTGTTCTTAATGTGCGCTAGACTTTGGTAGGCAATCTTCATTCGAAAATCAACGATCGGATCTTTTTATTTACCAGCAAATTTTCGAATACCAGACTAGTTTCTGGTTCTGTATTCGAATTTAAATTCATGGTAAAAGGCAATACAGCGCCTAGTAATCTTATAGCTGCTTCCTTCAATGGAAAATCAATTCTAACAGATTCCAGAAGCGTTACGAATACTACCGAAGGACATGGTAAAAGCAGGTATGATTATGGAGAGGTGCTTGGTAAATCGCTTCTCTTCTATGAAGCACAACGAACCGGTAAACTTCCGCCAAATAATCGTATTAAATGGCGAGGTGATTCAATGATGATGGACACAGGAAACAATGGCGAAGATTTGACCGGTGGCTATTTTGATGCTGGTGATCATGTTAAATTTGGTTTTCCAATGGCAGGATTTACGACAGTGTTAGCTTGGGGTGCCATCGACTATGAAGATGCATATATACATTCAGGTCAAATCGAATATATTCGACAAGCTATTCGATGGTCAACAGATTATTTTATTAAGGTTTGTCTTTCATCTTTTGAGCTTTGAATCGAAGAAATTATCTCTTCAAGGTATTTTTAAACAATATCTATCTTTTATAAACATTGAGCATTTCTACATCAGAAATCATATAAATCAATAGATGAAAATGATTAAAAACATCTTCATTCAATGAAGATGGTCACATCTTGCTTGAAAATAGTCACTTAATTCGAGTAGATTATCAAATGAAGTTCATGATTGTAATACTTTAAAGTACCTATTCACACACCGTTATTGATCCGATCGAGGAGCTCAGCTTCATGCATTTATGTTCTCTCTTACCTAGGCACATACTAGCCAATATGAATTCTACGCACAAGTTGGTGATGGTCACGACGATCATGCAATTTGGTCACGACCAGAAGATTGGACAAAACCACGACCCGCATGGAAACTTACACCGCAACAACCCGGTTCCGAGGTGTTGGCTGAAACTGCAGCTGCACTGGCTGCTGCTTCAATAGTATTTCGTTCAGTTGATCCCAACTATCAATCAATCCTACTAAGTCATGCACGACAATTGTACGATTTCGCAAATCAATTTCGTGGCAATTATACCCATTCGATTCCTCATATTACAGATTTCTATAATTCATGGTCAGGTTATGGAGATGAACTGGGCTGGAGTGCTGCTTGGCTTTTACGTGCTACCGGTGATCAGCGCTATCAAGCGGATGTTGACCAACACTATGCTGAATTTGGTCTTACTAAACTACCTTTAGAATTCAGCTGGGATAATAAAATAGCAGGGCTTCAGATACTAATGGCCAAAATTACAAATAATTTAAGTTATCGAGTACAGGCTGAGAATTTCTGCAACTACGTTGTTCGACAAGCTCCGAAGACACCCAAAGGTCTAGTATTTCTTCAACCATGGGGTTCACTACGACATGCCAGTAATGTGGCTTTTCTTTGTCTACAGGTAATCAAAAACAAAGAGAAAAATCTGTTGAATATAAATATATCACGAATTTTCTATGGCATTTGATAGGCCTCTGAAATGAATATCAATAAACAGCAATACGTGGATTTTGCTACTCAACAAATTAATTACATACTTGGTGACTCAGGTCGATCATATGTGATTGGTTTCGGTCAGAACTATCCACAACGACCTCATCATGTATCCAGGTATTTCATACATGTTCAACTTCCAATCCATATCTTTCTTTCTTTCTTCTTAGCTCTTGTCCTGATCGACCGGCAGTATGTAATTGGGATGCTTTTTCCGATCCCAATCCAAATCCTCAACTTTTAATTGGTGCTCTGGTGGGTGGACCCGATGAGAATGATAACTATGAAGATCGACGTGATGATTACGTTATGAATGAAGTAACCACCGACTACAATGCCGGATTTCAATCAGTTGTAGCAGGCCTTTTGCATCGTCAGTTGAAAGTCTAAAGGAGAGTGTTTGTGTGTGTAAGATATCTGAGTTGTGTGAAAGTTCAATATAAAACGAACTGAAAAAGGTGCTCAGAGCGTATACTCTTGCTTGAATTTTTCATAAAAAAAAAGATTACCTCCATGAGTAAGCGATATAAAAGAAAGGAACATGCGTGGATCCACTTCAACAATATTTTATTTACAAAAACTACTTATACAATTCAACATGTTCATCTTCTGATATAAAAACTTGAATTTTACGACAGTTGTGTTCCAGTTGTTCGCTAAGACTTGTGTTTGATTTTCTTCCATGAACACACGACTCTAGTTTTACGATGCAACTAATATCGGAACTGCTTTGATGTATTTGAATCATAACGCCGACGCAGAATCGACGAGATTGGTTGATATCACCTGATTCGATGATTAAGTGACGTTTCGATACACAACCTTTTGTATCACATAAATGTGAATCTACAAATAATAGAAATCACATGTAAAACAGATATGCTAAGAATGAAAACATACCTCGTTCTACACCATTTCCTAACGACAATAAAGGAAGAGATAACATCTTCGCTCGTAAAGTTATGTGATGGATTCGAACAGTAACCAGGGTGGGTGTTGGTGTGGGCGTTAATCATTTGCCCACACCCACCTACCATCAAGATGAGGAAGTATCTGACTTTTCTTTTATCAAAGCTATAGAATTAAAAACTTATTGTCATACGGATTTGTACCACACTCTATGATGACGAGTGTCACAACAAATAAGTTACTGTATAAATATTATGCTGACCGTTACAGTTATTTTTTGCATCATGAAAATTTTGTTTTATATCTCCATCAGCATTTCAACAAACTTTATGACTTTCGTGGTTCGTTATCATCGATAAACACTTTCTCACAGGAAGACCTTATAGGACATATTCAAACAAACAAAAATGGAACCCCATCTTTTAAAAATCTTTTTGTTTACTATTATAATTAATGTAGATGTTTTATTAAAAAATCACAGGAAAATAAATATGCGACGTGTACTTAACGGAAATTTGTATTTTTATTTTTAAATGAAAAAGTATTGATAGGAAAATCATAGAAGGAATAATTCAGAAGCATTCTCGCAAATAATGACATCAGTTGAATAATATAATCATATTAAATTACATAGATTTTTTAATACTAAAAATTAGGTCTGTTAGATTTATTTTTAGTCGATAAAAAAATTTGTGACTACAATAGTTACTATAATATATTAGAAGAAAATAAATGAAAATATAACACGTGAGTGGTGTTTAACAAAAGGAAGGATTTGCCAATTATTTGTAACATTCCATAATCGTTTTTTCAACGGTTCTACTCTGTAAAGATTACGTCTATTTGTGAAATCTGGTTGTACCTATCGGATCTCTTTTCATAAACAGTTCTATATCTAGTTGATTCATGAAACGTTTCAATTGTTGATCTTCGAAAATACCAAGTAGTTTTAGTTTTCTTGTTTTCTTTTGATCTAGTTCTTCTTGCTACCATTTTGTTGGCATGCCATGTATTTTCGACTAGATTGAGATCTTCAGGCAATAATATTCGATTAAATACACTGAATGAATAGCCCAAAGTTAATAATAAAGTTTGATTTGTTTTTTGATTATATCTTACGTATCTTTTCAAGAACATTTCATTGAATGTCATATATGCAAGTTGCAACAGGTACATTGTTTCATTGATTTTTTTGGCATGTCTGTAAGGAAAAGGTTTCCAATATGAAAACATGTGATGAAGAGTTACCAATCCATTTATGCCACTCTCTAAATAGCCTGTCATATCACCACGATGGTCCATTTGATGAAAGTTATGATTTTTTATTAAACCTACTTTCAATATTTCAGTAATACATTTACCAATCATTCCGTCTCCACCAAATATATTACGATATCGCTTACATTTTTTATTATAGGTTGATAATAATAATGTTAATGGCTGACTTAACACAATACCTCCGCCTCCAAATGCAAAATAAGAGCCAAAATGTTGCAGTTGAGATTTTCTATCAGAAATATCACCTAAATATATGGTGTTTGATGAGTTATATTGCTGCAGTACAAACAAGAGATTATTTATGAACCAGACTGTATCATCATCACCTACAGCAAACCATTTTATCATTTTTCTTTCGTTTATTTCTAGATAGTTCCAAGATAGGTGGAATAATTCAAGATATCTTTCTTCATAACGTGTTATATTTGAACTTTGTATGATGCATGGGACTCCTTCATGTATAAGATATTCTGTAATATTTGTATTGTTAGCGAAGTCCTTTTCTTCGAAAACTATGAGACATTTAATGCCAGGATGCTGCGCCCAAAATTTTATATAATGAACGGTATTGATTATTCGCTTAGTACTAGTAGTAAGTGCAAAATAAATTTCTTCAGTAGTATATTTGTGAATAATTGGTCTCATTGGAAATATAGATGCTGTTTCTTCATATTCGCCAGTGAATTCTGACAAATCTATGTTGGTCAATTTTATTGTGTTATTATGGGGCGAAATATGAACTTTAATATGCTTCAAATCTTTTGCCTTGTTATCATATGTTCTAGTAGGAAATTTATTCAACATATGAACTGCCGTTAAACGAACATGATTATTTCGTTGGTAATAATGAAAAATACCACAAAGAATAATAGTGATTATGGTCATACGTTTTATCCATCTAGATAAAAACTTTTTGTTAGCCAAACCATATGTTCTATGTCCCATAATTTCTTTAGTAGATTGAATAACAGAGCATAAACCATTTAAAGTAACGATTTCTTGTGGAGAACTTGTTTGCGAAACATTAATAATGGAGTTGCTAACTGACCATGGAAATTTATTTATAATTAAACAATCATTTAGTCAAACTGATATTTTCTGCTTGAAATTTGAACTGTTCTGTTTGTAGTAGTGTGTGTGTGTCAGAATGATGCTGATTTTGAAGAAATAACTATCATCGCTGATCCCTACTACACCGTTTCTATCAATATAATAATATTTATTTGAATTAATTAAATTATAACCGCAAACAATAAATGATACGTGAATACCGCCAAAAAGAATAATATATGATAATTAACTCACTCACTAAAATTGTGTATCTCGTCGTACTCTTCTGCTTCTCCTTTTATATCCACGTTTTCTCTTTTTTCTTTACTCCTCCATTTTTTTTTATACAAGATAGAAGGTTGTTGTCTACCACCCATAGACACAAGGATAGACATATTTATAACTTTACTCTCTCATAGAAGGCCGAAGTCTACTTCTATTATGTATGCACTACGAGCCAAGGTTTGTCTAAAAATGACGTAACATAGATATTTGAATATGAAAAGGGTATGTAATAATTTTCAAAGAATGGAGACGTCCTTTTTTGAATATGAAAGAATATAGTCTATTAGCAAAATAGCTCTCGTATTTCAATTGGAACTATAATTAGTTTTGGAAATTGTTCTCCTGTTTCAAGTTCATGCAATCGTTTTTGTTTGAAATTGTAGCATATTTTTAATTGTTTAACAAATATTCGATAATAGCTAAAAGCGTTGAATTGTTTGTTCTTTTCTGTGAACAATGGTTTCAAACTAAAAATTATTATTAGTTTCAGGTTGTAGAGTGTTGGGTAGGTTAATTGATGAATGGTTTACCATTTTGATGGTTGAATAAGCGCTGTTTTTCGAACGAATATACGTCAATTAACCATTATAGTCTTTGTATAGAGGAAAGCTTATTGTTCATCATAAAAGAATTGTCCACTGCTACGTTATTTTCATTCTTCAATGGCTTCTTCCATTTCTTCATCTTCGTTCTACAATCCAACAACTAGTCGGTTCACTGAGCTGAGTCGTAAATATATTTGTTCGTTTTATGCTTAGTCTCCTATTCCAACCGGCAATCAATGAAATGAACTTCATGAAAAAAAAGGGTGTAGTAAAGGAAAACTATGAGTAAATATAATTATTCGTTGATAAATGTAAAACTATCGTTTTAAATTTGCAGGTAAATCTCAACTTTCTTCTTCGCAATTATTACCTTTATCAAGTACTGAAATATCATTACCTATTGAATTTCTTAATAGTATTTCAACAGATCAAGCCAGTGCTCTTATAAACCAACGTTTCGACAAGTGTCGTTATAAAAAAAGTCATCAACCCTCATTATGTGGATGACGAAATAACACTAGAAGAAATTGAATCATTTACCAGTGTAAAATTTAAAAATGGTAAGTGATTTTATGATAAATTGATTATATTAGATCGTGTATTTTTAATAGTTTCTCATCTATGCGACACAAAAGGTTGTTTACGAGACTCACATCTGCTAATTGAAAGTAACATCATTAATCAAGATCGAAGAGCCTGCCCTGGTGTTATTTTAACATTAAAATTCACAGGTCCATCAACACCAAAACAAATTATACAATTTAAACCATGCGTCCACGGTATTAACCATCCCGAAGCTCAAGGTGACTTTTTAAAATTTACCTGTCGAAAAATTCAAGTACTTATTCAAGATGAAGCCTCCACGAAATATTATAGAAGTCTTTGTTAATTGTTCTTGTATTCTAAGGGTATGCGTGTGTGAGTGAGTAGGCGTGGATGTGTTTGAGGTTAACAGAAAAGATGCACACACTCTACGTATACTAGCTTGAAAAAAAATGTAATTCGAAAGGCCTCGCGTTACACGTATTATTTTTTTATTTATCTCCCTTATTTTTTTTCTCTCTTTCTTCGTTTCATAGAATTAAAAATATAAAATCATATATATGTATATTATATATTTTTTTTCTGTTACATTCTTATTAATTTACTTATTATACATTATTAATAAAAAAATACATATTTATTTTAAACTCAAAAAAATTTTCATGTTGATCTGCCAAGTTTATTGAATCAACTATAAAACTATGGTTTTTTTGTAAGAACTGTTAATATTTGCCGATTTTGAAGACTCGAAAACAGAAGTGTTTTGCGTTTAAGTCATATCCGAATAATATGAGATACAATAGATACTGTAATACAAAAATATAATCATCTATTAAAACAATAGAAATATTTTTTTAACATTCAAAGTAATTCTTTTTTCTTGCCATCTGTCTCCATATGCTCCTATTAATTATTCGAAATTATTCATTTGCATGAAATTAAATATAAATATTGAGAAGACAACAGCTGCAGTTTTCAAAATGGCTAATATATTCCATTTATTTTATATAGAAAGCAAAAGTATTCTATAACAACTGCAAGGTCTTTGTTAATACACATTTCACTGTTTTCACTTTAACTATATTTGATTTCATTGTAATACACATTCTTATTATTTTACAACAACGGTTTTATCGAATTTCGATAAATGCATTTTTGTCAATGCCAACTTTCCGGTAAAATTTTTCAATATTTTCGAAACTGAGAACTCTGAATAGTCATAATAAATAATTGATAACCAACTTCAATATATTTAACTCGTTTCATATTCAAAAGAGCTGTTAAACAGCTTTAGGGGTGTGGGTGTATGTGTGGATTCATCTTTAATTTACCCACAGCCTCACCCTCAAGATCTTCGAAATGTTCCATCATCCAAGACATTAAATTTCCATTCGTTTTTTTTCATTGTATTGTGGATGTTTAAAATGCTTGAAAATATTGAACCTGATTTTCAACGAACGCAGCTCACGTCAGTATTTCTATACTAACTAAGACTTGCTAATTTTTCTAGATAATATCTTTAGTGAAAGTCTTATTAATTACTTCATAAAATTTTAAATGCAATGATCTCAACAAATTCATCAAATATAACTGATACTAACCTTCGTATCAGTGTAATAGGTTTAGATAGACTTGGCAGTTCAATGGTTGCCGTTTTTGCAGCTAAAGGCTACCATGTAATTGGTTTAGATATCAACAATCAACTTGTCGACGCATTAGAAAGAGGAGAAGCTCCTGTGCATGAACCTCAACTACAAGAAATGATTGATCAATATAAAACTAACATCGAAACTACAATGGATTATTACAAGGCCATAAGTGAAACAGATATGACAATGATTGCTGTCTCAACACTATTAAACTCAAATACTGGATGTTTCAGTAATGATAAAGTGCTTGTGGCAATCAAAGAAATTGGAAATGTTATAAAAACATGTAATAAATATCACCAAGTAATTATTCTATCAACAGTTATGCCAACTTCGTCAGGTGGAATTATTCGTAGTGTTTTAGAATCATCGTCTGGTCGAAAAGTTGGCTGTCTAGATAGTGAAATTGGTTTGGCATACAATCCTGAGTTTACTATATCAGGACAGATTATTAAAAATATGTTAAATCCATATTTCATTCTTATCGGCGAAAGTGACAAACGTACTGGAGATGCTTTGAAAGAATTATATTTAAAAATAGTTACTAAACCATCATTATCAATTCATCGAATGAATTTAATCAATGCAGAAATAACTAAACTAGCTATCAATACGTATATGACAACTAGCATCACTTATGCTAATATGATTAGTGAATTATGTGAAAATTTCTCAGAAGCCGATTCTGATATTGTTTGTGCTGCGATTAATTGCAATTTTCCTATTGAAAATAAATATTTAAAAAGTGCATTAACATATGGAAGACCATGGTTGACAAGAGACACTGATGCATTCGTTACCTTAGCCAAGTCTGTCAATGCTAATCCATTATTAGTTGAAGCAACTGATCAGTTAAATAATTATCAAGTGAAAAGACTGGTAAAAATATGTAAACAGTTAACAGAACTTCGTTCTGATGGTACTTTATACATTAAATCAAAAGTCGGTATATTAGGATTACCTTATATTTCGGATACATCTATTGCAGAACGTTCAACTACTTGTATTTTAGCTAATGAACTTATTAACAACTTTGATGTTTGTGTCTATGAGATGTTCAGCATTTCTTTTGCCTCTCACATATATGATCAACGTGTGCAATTAATTAATTCTATTGATACACTTCTTTATGAAGAACACATTGATATTTTGTTAATCATGGCTGTTTCAAATCATTGGGATAATATTATGTTTAATCGTATAGAGAAAAAACCTTTATACATAGTTGATTGTTGGCGATTACTTGATAGTGAAAAAATTGAGAAAACATACCATCATATTCGTATTATATCATTAGGAAATGGCGATTCAATGATGGAACTTAAACAACGAAAAAATTTAGACGAAAAGTATGAAAGAAAATTAAATGAATATTCCATTAATATTTGTAGTCAACTTCGTATATTAGTGGCTGGTGGAGCAGGTTTTATTGGCAGTCACTTAGCTCGTCGTCTACTAAAAGAAGGTCATTATGTTATATGTGCTGACTGGAAGAAAAATGAATATTTTCCAGAAAAAGAGTTCTGCAATAAGTTTTTGCATATGGATTTGCGCACATTACATAATTGTTTAATAGCAACCAAAGATTGTGACTGGGTATTTAACTTATCTGCTGATATGGGAGGAATGGGATTTATTCAATCGAACAATTCAGTAATTTTATTCAATAATACGATGATTTCGTTTAATATGATAGAAGCTGCTAGACAAAATAGTGTTCAAAGATTTTTTTATGCTTCATCTGCATGTGTTTATCCTGAAAGTATCCAAGCTGAAGAAAATATTGAAGCTCTCAGAGAGGAACAAGCCTGGCCTGCAAAACCACAAGATGCTTATGGTTTAGAAAAACTAGTATCAGAAGAACTTGCAATACACTATGCAAAGGATTTTCAAAAGATGGAAACTAGAATTGGAAGATTTCATAATATTTATGGACCGTTTGGACAATGGAATGGAGGTAAAGAGAAGGCTCCAGCAGCATTTTGCCGAAAAGTGCTGGTAGCACACGAAGGAGAGAACCATGGTGTAGTTACTGTCTGGGGCGACGGAAAACAAACGCGATCATTTTGTTATATTGATGATTGTATTGATGGAATAATCCGTTTGATGCAATCAGACTATACTCTACCGTTGAATATTGGTTCCAATGAAATGGTTTCTGTTAATGATATGATAGATATAATCTGTCAAATCGAACAGATTAGTATTACATTGAAACATATTTCGGGACCGGAAGGTGTTAGAGGAAGAAACTCTGATAATACTTTAATTAATAAGGTTTTGCAATGGTCACCTTCAATAACACTAAGTGATGGACTCAAGAGTACTTATAAATTCATTAAAAATGAATTAGAATTAGAAAAAAAGAATGAAATGAACATCTCGAGGTATGCATTATCAGAAGTTGTTCAACAAACGACTGAAACACTGGAAGCAATTGGTCAAGTGAAATACAATAAAAAGACTTGCATTTGAATTTGTTTTATCTTAATTAAAAACTTATATTCAATTTCATGCTTTGTTTTCAATATAGTTGCTTCATATACTAGTTAGATTATACAGATCATATTTTCCATTTATGGTTATTAATAATAAAATATAGTTATACCCGCACCATTGTTCTCATTCATCCTAAAGTTTTTCTCAATATTTTTTTCTTATATATAGATACACTTTAGTGAATATATTCTTATAAAACACAATGCCTTTAACTGTTATGTACACATTCCTCTTAGTATTGGTATTTGTTTCATTATACTTAATGGTGTGCAACAATTATTTGCTATTTCAACAGAAACTTTCTGCAGTTTATATTCAAAGACAAGAAACTTTGAAGAGAAATATATCAAGCTTAACGAATTTTATTGTATTCAGTGATGATAATTATCCTTATCCTGGATTACGACATCTGCGAACAAATTTTAAATGTCAAATTGTTATAGCTCAACTTTTGAATAAAACAATGGTATTTCCCAAATCTGTTGGTATTCCGACATTTCATTCACAATCCCTTTTATATCCAATTCAAAACAAATTTATAACAATATCAACTGAAAGCATCATAAATGTCAAACTATTATCATTATATTTTGATGTTGTTTCATACGATGATGTCACTCTTAATCAAAATAATTCAGTTATATGCTCGTTTCATACTTTTCCTCTTGTTCAGAAGCACCAATATTCCTGCTGGCAAGAATTATGTGCATACAATCCACCGCAATTTCCAACAAAATATTCTATGAAACATGTAGAAGACAACTTTTATCGTCATCAACAACCAACATATTTGCAAGATCTAGCACATAAATTGATTTCAAAAATCAAATCAGCGTTTTATACAGCGATTCACATCAGGCGAGGCGATAAATTGAGAGAACCTCGATACAAGAATAAACTTGACAATTGTACAAGACCATCTTGGATAAGAGAAAAGTTAAATTCCTGTGGTATCTCACATGGCTCAATTTATCTAGCAACAAATGAATATCAACCCAATTTCTTTGATTCCTTAACTCAGTGGTATACAGTATATACAATAACAAATTTTTCAATATTTATAAATGAAACTATAAAACAAAATCCATATGCACTTATTATTATTGATGAAATTATTTATTCAAACGCAAAAGTAAAAGTTTCAACATTTATCGAACCATACACAAATAGATCTTTTTGTCCATTTGGTCGAGCTGGTATTCAACATTAAAAGTGAATCATAACAAACTGAAAAATAATAACTCTAATAAATTTGACGTATCTAATCAGAGACACTTCTTAAGAATGCATGTGAGTATGAAAATTGTGATGTGATAGTGGGAAAAAAACAGAATAATAAGATGTGTATTCTGAGTATGATATTTTTTCTTTTTTTATCTTGAGGGTGTGGGTGTGTATAAACAAAGAAATATGCACTCATTACAAATGTATATCTGCTCGTAGAAGTGTATGAATTTACACTCCTTTAATTGTATAAGAGAGAGGGATCTCGATCTTTTTTGGGAATGAAAACTCTAATAGAATCCGAAAAATGCATCCACTCGATTAGCGTGATTCGAACATGACCGCCATTGATTAACGATCTCTCCATTCTTCACGTACATGTTTTATATATTAAGAATCAACTTCTTCTAATTTATTTTCAAAATATTTTTAATTGAAATAGTCATAAAATTTTAGTATAGCAGCCAAAAATTCGCAGGTAACATTTGACGCATAGATTTAAAGTGAGCTTTTTCTATTGACCATTCAGTTTTACGCTGATTGGTTCTTTCATAGTTTTTAAGCTTAGTAAGTTGAATTTCACTTGATATAAAATTTCTAAATGCAATTTCAACAGCTGGATTATAGTTGTTTTGACCATTATTATTATAAATATTAAATTGTAGTGGCTCCTCGCTTTTACTAGCAAAGAAGATAAAGTTGACAAGTGCGCCAGTGTTAACTGAATTAATACCACCTTCGCAAAAACATTTTAATTGTTTGAAAACGCTTTGAAGTTCTTGGATAATATTGTGTAAAACTTCCATTTCAACTGTAGAAACCAGATTAAGTACTAAAGTACCATTATTAGACAGTATTCTAAAACAGTTAGATATTAACTCTTGAATATAAATCTTACGCATAAATGAACCACTAAATACATCATGTACAATTAATTCAAATGTATTACTGTCTTGTGCTATAATAAACGTTAGATCATCTGCAGTAATAAGCGAAGCATTTTTGCTTAAACCAAAGTATTTCGAGGCAAAATTAAGTACATCAGCATTATTGTCTATAACAGTAACTTCATCAAATTTGCAGCGATTTATGAGTGCATCGACAACGATACCAACCCCACATCCAACAGCTAAAGCATGCGTTTTACTCAATTTTGGAGTAGATTTCATCCAAGGCACATGACATGCCAATTCATACCAGTAAAAAGTCTCAAACACTGATTCAAATCCTTCATTAAATACACCACCAACAATACTATGATCGATACGCATAATTTTTACATCTAGTTCGCGATCATTAACTACAGTAACCAAACTTGAAGATAACGATGAATCGATAAGGTCAAATCTGGAAAATTTTGTAATTAATTGACGCTTTAAGCCTGGATATAAAATGCTAATCAATAGAACGAAACAAAGAGTTAATGATTGAGGCTTCAAATTGAATTTTGAGAGTAAATAGCACATGTAAATTATAGAAATTGTAGAAATAATTGAATGTGAATAAGCTTGTACAATTCGAGAAATCAGCATAACTTGATTGTCATGGAAAAATCCAATACAAATACACATAATCACACAAACAGTAAATGAAAATATAATAATACGTACATTAACAGATTTTGCGAATTTTGAAAGACCACAAATTATTAGGCCCAAACCTAATCCTACTGGTATAGAAACGATAAGGGCTAGACATATAAAAGCGGAAATCCAGATTTCAATAAAAGAAGGAAGTAGTAAAGCACAGACGTCAACTAGTATATTACGTAGCATACTTGAAATAAGTATTGATGTAAAAATTGAAAGAGAAGTTGTGGAAAATACACATCTTAATGTAATTAAACCCACAATTACAGTCAGAAAAGGAAAGTTTTGAAAATTTGAGAAGAAACTGCCAAACATTATAGTTACATTTAAACGACCATTCAATATACAGTCAATAACAAATAATAGGCCAAAACAAGTCTGAAAGAGAGACTTTACAACAGCCATGAGATTCATAGTTACGCAAATTCAAATAATCTAAAAATAAAAAAAAGCAGAAATATGTTATTCAAAATAGCAAAACTTTATAACGACTACCATTCAAATGAATATTGTCAAGAACAATCACTGTGAAGGCGTTACTACTACACTCATCAATATATATATATTTGTGAGAGAATGTACAGGTGTATTTTAGTTTTTTTGGTTCTGTTCTGTTCTGTTATGCTGCACATTGTCAGAGCCTACCCATGAAAAAATAATCTTATAAATTCATATTTACGTTTGATTTAGTTTTTGAATCGAATCTAAATAAAAGATAATAATAATCTTGTGAATTCATATTTTAAATTCACCAGTCGTTAGACAAATATCGATGATATATATTTAAAAGTAACATTTAAACTATCATCCAAAATTTATTGAAGTCAACCGATATCACTATATTATTAGTAAGGTAGTGGATTATTGGAAAACGTGATAAATATTAATATAAATTTTATCTCGTGTTTTTTACTTGAGATTCAATTCTTTGAGTTTATTACTTTATCATTGTGTTAGATGAGTCAACACTCAAGTTACAATTGTATCTATGCGTTTGTTAATTTCTCTGACATTAAACAATCGATTTACTTCTCTATGCTCTCTATGCAGCTGACGAAGATTACTGTGTATTGTATAATCACTAAACAAGACAGAAAGAAACAAAAAAATGTCGATAAATAACAACTGCGACTAATCTTTTTTGTATATACTTAAAACAATACCTTACCCAACAGAAACATTTTTATCGGTCTTTTTGTCATTCACTCTTATAAAATCATAATTGTGATGTTTTCAAAGCTCCAATATTCGATTTTAATCTACTGTACAATCTTAATATGTGTCTTTGACCATCGAATTGACGCAACGAATGTTACGTTTATTCCCACACCTATTCGCATCACGGTTGCTGATCTTCCGGCCCCGTTTACAACACAATCCGCTAATAAAGATGGAAATATTATTCCTGTACCATCGGATCCAAAAATATCTGTTCCAGTTGGATTTGCAGTCAAACTTTTCGTAGATGGTCTCATTACGCCTCGTTTTCTTCTGTATACGCCCACTGGTGACATTCTTGTTAGTGAACCTAGTGCTAATCGGATATCATGCCTAGTTGATAGCAATAATGATGGATATCCTGATGAGCGCATAACATTTGCTGATGCATCCAATAAAATCAGTCGTCCTTACGGGATGGTATTTATCAAAGGCTACTTTTATGTGGCGAATTCAAATGGTATTCGACGATATCCATGGATACGTGCAAGTCGTCAAATATCTGGCGAGGGTGAGCAGATAATGGATATTGATCCAAGCGGTCACTGGACCCGAGTTATTACTATGTCACCAACAGCCGACAAAATATATATTGGTATTGGTTCAGCGACCAACAATGATGCTGATCCTTTACCACGAGCATCCGTTCAAGTAGCAAATCTTGATGGAAGTAATCGAACAACATTTGCGTTCGGTCTTCGAAATCCGATCGGTCTAGCTTTTCATCCAGTTAGCAATGAACTGTATGTTGCATGTCAAGAGCGCGATGGTCTCGGTGATAATCTTGTTCCAGATTTCTTTACACGCATTCGGCAAGATGAATTTTATGGTTGGCCATATGCTTATATGTCACCGAGTTTAATCGATCCAAAACACACTCTACCGAATGGATCAAGTGTACAGCCCGATTTGGTAGCACGTACACGAACACCAGATGTTCTCATTCAAGCACATTCGGCTGTTCTCGACATGCTTTTCTATACAGGCAATCAATTTCCGAGTAGTTACAAGAATGGAGCATTTGCAGCACTCCATGGATCATGGAATAGGGAAGTTGGAACAGGATACAAAATCGTCTTTATACCTTTCAATAGCGATAATCGACCGATAGGTCACTATGAAGACTTCGTTGACGGTTTTTTAACCAATCCACGTGGGCCCGACACGTTTGCCACTCCAGTCGGTCTACTTGTACTCAAAGATGGTAGTCTCATATTCACTGAGGACGGAAACAATCGAATTTATCAAGTTCAATACCAACAGTCGACCAGTAGTAGCCATTGTCAACATTTTGTCTCTGTTGTATTTCTTATTATTTGGCAGTTGTTTTCGTTCTTTTTCAAGCACGAAATTAATTAAATAAAATAAGATTGAGTAGAATAAATTTATTTGAGACATCAATAAGGCATGAAGGTGAAGGTGTAAATATTATATGCAAGAGTTACTACGACTATTGTGCATTGTAAAATTAAATGATAGCGAAGCGTGGGTGAAGATGTAAGCGGGAGGACATATATGCATCTTTCAATCAAGATTCACACACACACATACACACAGCCTCGTTATACGAAACTCTCTTAACAAGGAGCATACATCTGAGCAACGTTAAAAGATCATTTCATATCTCACAACAATTATGATAAATGTTTTTGTTATTCATTAATTTCATTCTCATGATAAAACGTATCAAAAGTCTATCTATTATAAACGATTAAGCAAAAATAGCTACACGGCTATTTTGATGTGGATATAAGATGAGGGTAATTCATTTGGTAAGGATCCGGTGCCACGATTACACCCGTTTCATTTTCATATCTCATCCATAGGCCGATTAATTCTTTTAAAACTTCCGGTTCTTCTTCAGCCAAATCTTTCAATTCACCTTTGTCGTCTGTTAAATTATATAATTCCCATTTTGTTTCTTTGTCACCTGGTTGTTTTGGAATATAAAGAGCTTTATAGTTTCCTCGTCGAACAGCCCGTTGACCAAAAAGTTCCCAACCAGTAAAATCTTGATATTTATCATGGATTGGCTGATGTGAACGAAAATGTGATACCCAAGATTTTCCACGTGGTAAAAGAATTTCTCGACCATGAAAATTTGTGCCTGGATGTGCTACACCGGCTAATTCTAATACCGTAGGTAAAATATCCATAACAGTGCAGAACTCATGCATGATTCTTCTCGTCGTCAACGGTCCATAATGCACAATTGCGGGACAACGTATCCCGCCCTCCGTAATATATCCTTTACTCATTCGACATGGTGCCGTTGCTGCTTGTGCCCACCTTGGACCATACCAAATAAATGAATTTTTCGAACCGATATTTTCATATGAATTGTCAAAGTACGTAATACTTTTGTCCATCGATTGTAGTGGAAGTGCTTCAAGCACCGCTCCATCTGCTCCATTATCGGACATAAAAAGAATAAATGTATTATCAAATTGATTTGTTCGATGAAGATAATCGACTACACGTCCGATATTATAATCCATTCGTTCCACCATGGCTGCATAAATTTCCATTGTTTTCGCTGAGAACGCCCGTTCTTCGTCTTTCATCGAATCCCATGATTTCTGATTTGTTGACACTGGTGCAGCAATCATATCAGGAGAGAGTAAGCCTAAACGACGTTGACTTTCAAGTCTCGCAGCACGTAATTCATCCGGTCCCATATCATATCGTCCTTTGTATTTTTTGATCAACTCTTTCGGTGCTTGTAAAGGCCAATGTGGAGCAGTAAATGGAAGATAGGCAAAGAATGGTCGTTTATCATCATCATTATCAAGAAATCGAATCAATTCAGATGTAAAATAATCCGATGAATAGTAATCATTGGGTAAATTCTTTCGATCCATAAATTCGTCGTTACGTGAATACAGTGGAGGTAGAAAGGCTAATGCTGGCTTTTCAGTTGTCCCAGCTTCATAGTTATAATGACTGCCAGCACCTGGTAGTAATGCAAAGCTCTGTTCAAAACCTCGCTTCGATGGAAATCGTTCTTTCGTCAATCCCAAATGCCATTTTCCGCTCATTATCGTTCTATATCCACCCATATCTTTAAGAATCTCTGGCAAAGTAGCCACTCGATCATTTAAATAGCCTTCATAACCTGGTTTTCCTTCCCAAATCTCTGCATGACGCTTTATTAAATCTGCCATCTGTCCGATACCAGCCAAATGATGATCAGTACCACTGAGTAACATTGCACGCGTAGGAGAACATGCCGATGCTGTATGAAAGTCCGTTAAAAGAGTTCCACCATTAGAGGCCAGTGTTTCAAGATTAGGCGTGAATATTTCGGATCCATACGATGAAATGTCTGAGTAGCCGAGATCATCCGCAACAATGATAAGAAAATTAGGACGAGCCATTATAATCTACAGAATACAACAAAAAAGATGAGAAATTATGATCACACACGGAACAAAACAAAAATATTCAATCGATTTTCAGTCGGAAGGCATTGTGTTAGAAGAGAGAAGATACATTTGAAGATCTGTAATCAGTTTCAATAGACGCGCATTTCTAAATACTACGTTGATAATTCGCTTTAGGAAATTTAATATAAAGTGTACAAGATTAATTTATATTCGCACTTGTTCGACCTGATATCATAATTAAGTCCACAAAAAATATTCTTACAAATTTTAACTAAAAGTTAAAAGTACGGATTTTTATTTTACCTAGAACAATTATATGTTATGCAACTATGATGTATAACCTTACTCTTACCGCGTTCGCTGCGTGATAGAAGTACGAACAAGCGCAATAAGTATGCTTTTTCTCTCTGATAACGAAGATTCTTCTTCGTTCCTTCTTAGCGCGGACGAAAAGAGAAAAAAAGAAAAGTATTGTTTTTTCTTTTGCGTTCGACACTCGAACAGAAGAATAAACCTATTTTCTTTTTCATCCCAGACGAGGATAGAGAGGTCACCATCTGTTTACCTCCCTTAATAATAAAAATATTACATGTTTTATATACAATTTTTTTTATACTGTTATATTCTTTCTCTTGTTGCATCGAAAGGTTAACAAGTAAGTGGCATAGAGCACAAGTGACTGTTTAACATCATACATTCTCATTTAACAATGAATTCATGTGTTCACTCTATTCTTTTAAACTAACTATTTTAACTCGGAATATTTTCTTTTAGATATATATATAGTAATGTCTTTACAAGAACCAGAACTTGTTGATGTAGTTATCGTTGGTAGTGGTCCTACTGGTTTAATGTTAGCTTGTCAACTTTCTCTTCACGGTGTTAAATTTCGTATCTTTGATAAATGTATTAATCATACAACACAATCACGTGCGTTGGCAGTTCATGCTCGTTCTATAGAAATTTTTCAACAAATGGGTATTGCAGATGAAGCAATTAATCGTGGCGAAGTTGTTCAAGGATTTGGTAGTTATTTTAATGGTGTTAAACGAATGAGAATGGATATGAATTTGATTAAAACACAAAATTTAACACATTTTCCATTTATATTAATTCTCGAACAATCAAAAACTGAAGCATTATTAGAAGAATTTCTCTTGAAAAATGCTCGAATGGAAGTTGATCGTCAATGTGAATTAATTAGTTTCATTGAACTGAATGATAAAGACAATATAATTGAATGTGTAATCAAAGATTATCGTTCCAATACTGAAGGAAAATTAATAAAGATTCACACTAAATTTCTATGTGGTTGCGATGGTGCTCATTCGAAAGTTAGACAAAATCTTCAATTATCATTTTCAGGAAATACTTATGAAGAAACTTTTTATGTTCTTGATTGTCATTTAAAATTTATGAATACAACAGAAACAGAATCTCTATTAGATGATGCACAATTTAATTTAACAAAATCAGGATTATGTTTACTCTTTCCATTAAAAGGACATAATATGGACAATCGATGGCGTGTTATTGGTACTGTTCCACATGAACTTTTAAATTCATCAAAACAATTACAATTTGAAGATATTGCACCGGGTTTTAGTCGACGTATTCAACGAAATATTGAATTGTATGATCCATTATGGTTATCAATATATCGAACACATCATCGTTATGCTGACCAATTTTATATTGAAAAAAAATATTTTCTCTTAGGTGATGCAGCTCATATACATAGTCCAGTTGGTGGTCAAGGAATGAATACTGGTCTTCAAGATGCATTTAATTTAGCTTGGAAACTTGCCTATACGATACAAGGAAAAACAGTCGATAAAGATAAATTATTACAAACATATAATGATGAACGAATTGAAGTTGCAAAAAATCTTGTTCAATCAACTGATCGTGTTTTTTCTCTTATGACAAGTCGAAATTGGTTTTTTTCATTTTTTCGTTTGAGGATCTTACCGTATATTTTACAATACATTGTTTTTCCAATAATTAGTTGTATTTCACCAATTCGAGAGGCCGTCTTCAAACGTATATCAATGATAGGAATTCACTATCGTCAAAGTCAATTATCGATGAACTCAAATAGAAATAATGTACAAGCGGGTGATCGTTTACCGTACGTTTATACTCATCCTGAGATTTTATTATCATCGACAGATAACAATGTCGAAGATGATAGTCGACGATACTTTCATCTCTTGGTACTACTTACTTCGAAATCGAATTCAAAAAAATCTTTTCATTTTGTTAAATTTATCGAAGAAAATTATTCACATTTAATTAAATTACATGAATTTCAATATTCTGAAGCGACAAAAGAAATTTTTCGTGTTTATAGTGTTAATCGAAATTCTAATGGAGGTATATTTCTCGTTCGTCCAGATTTACATATTGCTTACTATTCAAAAACATTCGATGTTCAACATTTTAATACTTACTTCTCGGAATATTTTCTACAGAAGAGTGATTAATTAATTCATTTTCTTTTTTTCTCATTTAATCAAGTTAAACTTGAAGATGTTCACTATTTTTTGTATTAAAAACTGTGAATGTCCAAAAATCCTTTCGATTTTGAATTTTTCTCTATACTTTGATATCGACATTTTCAATTCGATAAATTTGAGGGTGTGGGTGTTCACATTAACGACACCCACATGCACATCCTCAAGTTGATTATTTTTCCACTATCACATAAACTCATTTTATGTAAAGAAAGTTCAAAAACGAAATAAAGAAAAAAATCTGAGTAAATATATTTTAGTTTTCTTCAGTGTTACAGCATTAGTATATTTTCTTGATTACATATAACTTAAGAAAAATTACAGAGGATATAGAAAAAAAGAAGTTTTATCCATTTTGATAAGATAATCACATAATTTAACAAATGATTTGATTATTTAACTTGATTCTGAACATGTGATATTTAGACAAAAGATTCGATTACAGAATAAATATAACTGAAACAAAACGGAACCAGAGGTATGCCTAAAATCATAGCGTCAAAATGCATTTGGTTGAATGAGGGCCGAGTACAGATAATATGAAGAAGAATTATCAAAATAAAACAATATAAAATTAAATAAAAAAATAACATATATATGATCCAAAACTTTGTGGTCAAAATAAAAATGTACATTTTGATGCCGAAAACAGACTCTGTTAAAGCGAATATAACGAATATAATATTATTTACGATAATTTGCAAGCCTACAAACGACCACGCGATCTTTTCGCGCTGTTTAAGGATATATCTCGATCTCTTCCAAAGACATTTCAGTTGTAGTAGAGAAAAAGAAATCCAAGGTGATTTCAACGGCTATAAAATAGTAAAAAACTTCAGTTTAATAATAAGTTATTGCATGAGAAACACTTACCTCTGGCCCAATCCACCAATGGATACCATATGATTCACTATGTGCAGGTGAATTAAAGATTCGACAAGTAAAATTATCATCTGTGAGTCGCCATGTAATTTGACTAATTAACTTTTGATTATCATAAATAACTGTTTCTGTAGATGACGAACATCTATCACAAAAAGATACATTTCGTAAATGTTTAAATTTCTCAATAATAAAAAGCATATGATCTATTGTAATATCTGCGAGGGCATATATTGTAAGATGTTCGATACATGGAAATAAATATAATAATTGTTCAAACATATCTAAAGGATTTTTAGGTTCCTTGAAAATTGTAATATCAAGTTTGTGGATTTGTTTGAACTGATAATCTTTGATCTGTCTAAGAATATCAGTTGTTTCAGATGTTATTTCGATCTCACGAATATCAGCCAATTTATAATCTGATGGATTGAACCATAGTTTATCGCGATTTAAAGATATATATAAATGTTGTGTTTTACTCAATTTATGAACAGGATTTCGTTCTACTATGACATTTGGTGCTGTCGAAAATGTAGATGTCTGTGAAAAATCGTTCATTACATTGATATGTGAATGATGTATGGAATATAACCACTTGTTCTGGTAAGCCACAAACCAACGTTTTTCTTCAAGCCAAAATGGTGTTTGAAATGATCGAAATGTTTCATTAATTGACGTAAGCTCTATATTGAATTTGAAACTGAATGTAATAAAACCGCTAGTTAACATTTGCCATCGGTGTCCATCGCCGAGATCATCGAACCCTTTCAGGTCTAACTTAACATGCTTCAGATAAGGTAGATTAGACAAAAAACGTTCCATTTCATCCATTGATATCACACAATCTACAAAGTATTAAACAGAAGAAGTATGATTCATCATTAAATTATAATGCTTTCGGTTTTGTGAAACATGAACTGAAAGAAGTATTGAAGTATATAACTAGAAAAGTCAACTTTCATCCATAGACCGTGATAGACATAACTGATTGGACTCCGTAAGAGTTATTACAGAATTTAGTTCGTGTTTCACATTTTAACCTCGCAAAGATTGCGCGACACAGCTTTCATTTTTAGTGACAAAAAAAAGTATGATAAAAATTTTCTGCTCACATTAATAGACAAGAAGAATAGTTAAAACGTACAAAGGATTCTTTTTTCTAAGAACTATTATGAAAAATTAAATTTATTCAAAGATGATAGTACTCACTGTTAATTGTCAAATTGAGTTGTGTAAGATGCGATGATATTAAAGAAACATCAGACTTTAATGTATCAAATTCGAGACAGATATTGAGTGATTGAAGTTGCGGTGCATTTCTAACAATGATTTCGAGTTCATCTAGTGTACATTTGTCAAGTTTTAAATAATAAAGATGTAGAAGTGGTATTGATTGTAAAACATCACCGCTATGTAAATATAAATGAGTGAGCCGAGGTAATATACGTGAATAAGCATTAAGCAAACGCAAATTTATTTTGTTAGATATATTTGGATATTGACTGGTTCGTGTTGGATATTTTTCTCTAATTAAATCAACATTAAATGACAATGAACGTAATTTATTGAGTTTATGTAACTTGGAAAAGATAGATTGCATTGATTCAAGTTCTATCTCAATCAATGTTATTGATCGGAGTTGTGTGAATTGTGCAATTTGAAATCGAGAAAAGAAAAGTTCAGATAAACCAGGTGTATCTTTATTATCGGATAGTTTTAATAGAATAATTTGTTCTGGTCGAATACGACGACAAATAAGATCAAAATAATTTCTTCCAATGGATTCGAAATTAACTCGATAAGCAGTATAGGCGAGTAAAACACTATTAACATAATCATTTATATCAGAGAAAGTAAAAAGAATTTCATGAGCCAGAAAATAACTGAATAAAGTATGTAATAATTCAACAGGCAGGAGATCGAAAAAGCACGCACGATGCATATTACGTAATTTATATGAAGACTCTTATTATTTCTTAGACGGACAGCAAAACTGAAAAATAAGAGAAAAAATTTCATATAAATCTGTCACATGATAAGATTGTTGTCATTTGATAAGATAATATTTTTACAGTTCTTTTTGTTTCTTATCTGTTAACATTTACATAATAATAAATATAATCTGGCCATTCGAAATAGAACCGGTGTGGGCATGAGTAGGAGTCTGGGTTTTCTACTCTTCTCAGATGCGTTACCCACACCTACCCTCAAGACAGGAAAAGATGGAAAACTATCAAGCACCATCTTGAAGGTGTGGGTCTATGTAAATGTTGATTGCGAGAATACTCACACATATATCCGCCCACTCACATGGGCACCTGCATCCTTACTTGTGTCATACCCACACCATCATGATCACATCCATAGAAAATTGTCTTGATTCTTATTCAAAGTTAGATAGAATGGTCGAATTAAAGAAAAACATTTATTGAGATATATAAGGATGAAAATGAAGTGCTTGAAAAGAAACGAACGAAGTATGAGCGTGATTTACATTAAAGCTTATGTGGTGCGGCTTTCTGCAAAGCAAGTGCCGTACGAAGATCTTGCCGTGAACAAAAAAAACTTTTATCTTTCATTAAGACATAAAAATATCAGGTCTATATGAACAATTTCTTGTGTCTATTTAATTAGCAATCGTAAACAATAAACTTAATCCAAGCAATCCATGATGGACTAGATATTGAATTCAAACGAAGGAATTGCACGTCAGTTAGTGGTGGATCATATGTTATATTAATCCATTGTCCTGAACTTGTTATACCATTCAAAATTGTAGCTAGAGTTAGATTATTTACGTCAGAACCAACATATAGATGATGTTCTGTGGTACCACTCGGCGATTGGGCGACTTGTAAATATATATTACTAATATTATAAATTCCTGGAAGTTCAAGCTGAATATATTGAGGAGCATAACCACCAGAGTTGAAATATGTTCCATCAGTAGTATTGATTCTATTGACCAGACCATCTCCTTGAGCTGTAGCAGAACCAGCGGAATCTAAGAATTGAGAGGCAGTTACCGCAGCAAAACTTGATATCGGTATTTCTATAATAAACAAATCATATCGTAAAAGTATATGACCAAGAAAATGATACTCTTTTTTCTTCACATATATTTTTGTTTCACTTGAAAGACCTGCTATAGTGAGATTATACTCAAGCCTTTTCGAAACGAAACAACGGAGTCGGAAGAAACAAAACTTACTACAATCAGAACGTTTAGCTCATAGGCGCTCATATGAATTTAGGCAAGTGGGACTTGTCTTATTTTCATTCCAGTTGAGAAAGAAAGAGGATTGTGTGAGGATGTAGTTATTGAATATCATAAATCTACTCACGCTCTACAGTTTACTAAAACTTTGTAAGTCAAACCGAACGAATTATACACTGAGCATTCAAATTTGTTGTTAACAATCAGGTTTTACTCACTTGCTGCGCTTGTTGTCGTGGTTGTTGTAGTCGAAGTGGATGTGCTTGTTGTGGTGATCGTGGTAGCAGAGGTGGATGTGCTTGCTGTAGTGGTCGTAGTAGTAGAGGTGGATGTACTTGTTGTAGTGGTTG